AATTAATGATCTTAAAAAATTTTCCTTTAATTTTTTAATGACAGGTTTTTGCACCCCTAAGGCTGGACCCAAGAGTGGTGGTGCTGATTCGTGGAGCTTCATTTCAGGTACAGTTAATATAGTTGTCTTAGAGTTTTTCATTCCCATGAATTGAATACTAATTCTTTGCACTCTGCCATGCGTTTCTGGTTAAGGAAAAATATAGGCCACAACGTCTTATTTAGAACGTGCGATTCACATCATTTTCCATCTTTTTGCCTCTTAATTTGGAAACTAGAGCAAATTAGTTTCGCAGATCATCTGCCTTCTTTGAACCAGGACTAGAAAAGATTTCCAAGTATTTGCCAGCAAGCCCTTCATGAAGCAACTTACCAAGCGACATTTTTTTAAAAAAATTGATGGTCTTTTGTCTGGATATAGGTTCGAAGTTCAGGTGGGCCCAGTCCCCAGGCGGCAACAATCTTCAGCATCGCTAACCACACAGTGGCAACTGTCAGCAGCGTGGGACTAGTGGAGGCACAGCAGCTTGGAACAACAAACCTTACTGGGTTTGTACAAACAGCTGATCCAATCAAGGGACAGACGGTGTTGCATTCCAAGGTACACTTCATCTTATACGTTACTCATACCAAGGCAAAGTAAATACATCCAAACAGAAATTGAAATAGCCGTTGTGTGCTCGACAAGTATTACACCTAAGGTTCATCATGAATAAGGAACGCGTTGCCGAACAGCCTGATCAGTGTTCCATGCAATTGAGGACACAACACTCTTCCGTCGTTTTCTTTCGTCCATCTCTGAACCCTCTGACTTCCACGATCTTTGAATCCCCTTTTGATATTAATTAAATTCGCCTTTTCACTCCCAAAACATTTATGTTTGCAAGGGAGGGGATGACAATAGATAGCAAAGAGGATTTTTTTTTCTGATTTCCTTGATTTTATTGCGTCCTTGTCTCGTGTCATTCTTTAGGATATTGTTATCGTACATGTCATACAGCTGAAAGGAATTATTATCAATGTTGCCTCTACCAACCTTGTCACTGGAACTAAGGTATGACATGTCTTAACGTGTATGCCAAAATGAGAGACGTTTTGATTTATCTAAGTGATCTGATTAGACATTTGACGATGCTGATTTTAAAAGGTCGCAGTGTGCATTTTTTAATTATTAAGAGCGTTTCGTTGTCTACGTTCCTTAAATTTTGTGGCAGAAAGACGTAGGGAAGAAGGCTAAATCTGCACTCGAGCCAAGCAGCCCACGAGACACCCGGGGTATTACCGCCACCATCACACCCCCCCCCCCCCCCCCCCCTCCTCACGAGACACCCACAGCGCGAAGCATGGAGCGAGTAGGGGTATTGCCCCCCTTTCCCCCCCTCGACAATTCACCGGCACCCATTTATACCGTTGCCTCTCCTACTCAGAAAGCCCTGTTTTGGATGCACACTTTATGTTTTAATCGTATGTAATCGCTGAGCATATGTTATGACAACTTTTTATCGCATTTTTGACTTCCATATTGTTTATAACAGATCAGCATGTATGCAGCTGGTTTAAACGATGAAACACCATTTACTTTTGCTAATGCTGTACCTGGTTTGAAGTTCTTTTGGACCTCAACTAACCCCGATGTATGCCAAGTCAAGTCAGTGTACGTTCTGGTGAGCAAATTTTAATCTTTTTTAAGGCAAAAAGAGCATAATGTTTGTAAAGAATATTGTAGCTCAAACGAAAAACATCCTTCTAGAAATTTGCAGTTGATTTTAACTCACTATCTCTTTCTGCACTCTTTGGAATTGATTATTTTGCTCCCATCTACTGAGTGAGCTGAATTTTTTCCAATTTTGTTATCAATAGGACAATGACAATATTCGGATGCGGCAGAGTGGTTAGAAAGGCTCTGCCTTTCAAGGAACTAATTTATTGTTCGTGTAGTGTAATCGTTTGGTCGAAGACAGTCCTCAAAAAATGAAGACTGTTGTCGATAGCAATGAATGACGTTTTGATGATCGGAGCGGGAGTCATCGTTCGATTCAAGTGAGGAGTTATTTAGGTAGTCGAACGTTTTAAGTGTGGTTCTTGTAAACTTATTGGTCATTTCTGCAATGACGATATCAGCTACAAGAATAAAGTACAATAAGTCAGTTTGGATGCGTTGCTAAAGTTCTTCGTTTTCATGTTGCATGAAGTACTCGTGTACATCTATTGAGTGAAGTCTGTTCTGAGGATTCTGTCTTTCTGTCTGTGCTATTCGTTATGATTTCAGAGTGGGGTGGCTGTGGAAAGCGAGAATGATTTCCGTGTGGATCTGCACTGCATTAACCCCGGACAAACGACTGTACGACTCAGGGTGGTAATAACTGACCACAGTTATCAACAGGCTCATAAGGACGCTTTGTTACAAGATGAGGTCACATTTGAGGTGAGGACAGTACCTATGATCCCTCAAGGTATTTATTAAGCGTGTTGTTTAAAAGGTGAGACTGGGAAAGATACATTTCGATTGGGCGTGAGAAAACTATAACATGGATAAAATCTAACTGAGGTCATCTTATAAAGAATGATGTATACAAGGATGAAAGGATAACGAAAAATTTGACGCGGGTAAACGCGTTTGAGGAAGCCACGTGAGAAAAGAGATATTTTTTTCGTCCTATCACGAGCAGTGGAAAAGGAGAACACTCTGAGTTCCACTGAGGAATCAACCTTAGATCTTCGGATTCCGCACTCCGATGCTCTACAATCGAGCCACAGAGATTCTATGGTCAGCCAGGCCATTACGAAGTCACGTGTTACCTATGCAACTGACTAGTTCAAAACAACACACATGTTATAGAGGATATGTTTTTGGTGTTATTGATTAGACGTTGATCCATATCCTCTGCGACAGTGTCTTATAAAGATAACAACTCTTGGTTACTTTTGTAAGTCGTTTATATTACCTCAACCATTTTGCCCAGTTTACCCTGAAAGTGAAAAATAAAAGCGGTATCTTTCACGTTACTTTTCATCACTTATGGTTATTGCCTCGCACAGATAAAGGAAAGTTCCTCTTCCTAAAGCTCATGGTCATGTCTTCAGCTAGCGAAAACAAATCCACAAAAAGTGTTCCCGTTACTTTGACTCGTTTCTGTTTTTGTTTTTGTTTTTTTTTAATTTTGCTTTTTTCCTTGACAGGTCTATGAAAGGCTGCAGTTGATTTTCCCTGCAAATGGCTTTCTACTTCTTCCTCACAATGTTAACACCAAAATCCAGACAAACAGGTGTGTGGGCTTAATGATTTTTCACAATGATAAACTTATGTCGAGACCTATTGCTCCAAGATGGACAATGAAAAAGGAGAAAAAAAACTCCCTTTTTCTAACCTTCGACAATCATTCTTTCTTGGTCGTTGACTTTGCTAAGAAGGCACTGCAAATGTGTGGCTGGAGGAGTTATTCTGAACAGAAATTACCACTTTTGGCATTTACGTTTGATTTTATAACTTAGCTCCTATTACATATCACCTCTCTTCCCACGTAAGGTACTTAAATGTTAACTGTTCTGCAGAGATGGTTCGGCAAGAATAACCTACGAGATGATGACAGACTGTTCTAAGCACAACAAGGCTTCTAGTGGTGCTGCTATAGCTGGTGTCAGTAGAAGTGGTCAGGTGTCCACTGCATCTCTGTCTGGGACGGCTGTGGTGTTGGTGACTGTCCATGAGGAGTTCGGCATCAATCAAACTGCTGTTGTCCATGTGGAGGTAGGGATGTGAAAACAGTCTAGATCAGGACACGAAAAGCTCGCTGCAACGCGAATAACACTTTGCAAAAGGTCGAGGTTTTTATTGCTCTGCGATGCGTTGCGTGGAAAAGCAGCTGCAACTACGACAGAATTTTGTTGCTGCAATCGGTTGCACGAAGTTAAACTGCTTTGATTCCATGCGATTTGGTTTTTAACAAATATCTCTCGTTTCATACGAGATAAATTGTCACTGCGACTCTTTCCCTCGACGTGTGGTAGCGTTGTTTTTTTGGGAAGCAAAACAGGCGGAGGGTTTTTTGTTTTTTTCCGTGTTATCGAGATATGACGCTGCAACGTGTGTGTCCCAAGCTTTAAGTAAACGGATTCTTTTGAAAGCGTTAAGTCCGGACGAACGGTGTTTTTTTCTTTGTGGAAATTAAATTACTCTGTCTAAACGTTTTATTCTCGATATTTTTCAGGTCAAGGCTGTTTCATCAATCGTTATAAATTGTCAGTCTCCCGTGAGAACGAACTCTGACAAGCTACATACATTTCCCCTGGGAATGAATGTCCTGCTCGCTGTAACATTGCATGACAATATCGGACGAAGATTTGCTGTTGCCAGTATCCCGCTCAAATACAGGCTCAACAGGTTAAATATATTGTTTTATTAATATTTTATTGAAGTGCAATAGTACTTGGTTATTAGGCTATTAGACTTACTTCTTGAACAACCTAGATCGGTGTGTTAACTTTCCCTACTTGAAGTTAGCATGTCCTTTTAAATTACTTCAAAGAAATTGGTTTAGTTTTTTGAAAACTACCTCTAGTTGAAACGTTTGTATATGGCTTAACACCATTTTTTTTTTAAATAAAGATGTAATGATATGGCGAAGATAATTATTGTGATGATAAGTAGACTAAGAACAGACCCCCCCCTTTTTGGCGATGTCCGTCGCGCAAGTGAAAAAGAAAAAAAAAAAAAAAATCAGCAGAAAAATACATTGATGTTAGCGCGCCGCACAGACCTCTGGGGCTACACACCCCGAATTCCGCCTAGCGCTTTAACATCTATGTTAAATTTTTTTTTTCCTTGTTCCTTGACTCGCGTGACGGACTTCGCCAAAAAGGAGGTAATGCTCGTAGTCTAGAATGAACAGGATAACAGGCATTTATTCACAGCTTTTTGAGGTTGATGCAGCGCAGTATGTAAAGAATCCGCCTACTATTCAAATTGTTGAATTGAGCCGCTCTGAAATGATACTATTGTAGTATGTAACAATTATCAAGTCTAGATTTTGTCTCTACTTGTTATTTAACAGAGCGGTAAAAAGACACGGAAAGGAGGATTTATTATCTTCTCATAGTATGACATTATTACTTACCAATACGTTGTCCGGAGGAGTAAATGTGCTTATTGTTACCATGTTCTTCTTCGTGATAGATTTGATGCCGTTCATGTTGTACCAGGACCAGAAAATGGCACTTTTTATGCCAGGGCAGTAAACCTTGGTGAAGCCATCCTTAAGGTGTGTGGCAAACCTCTTCATCCCTCTAATCTTTAAACCGTTTTAATACGTTTTCAGCCAAAGCAATGCACTCTGTACGCGGTATTCGGTAATTTTGATCGACCCATGTGAAAGAAAATTATGGATCGCCTCTGGTCTCTTTGCAGGATCTATAATGAGCCCTCCTTTCCCTTTTTCAGTAATTTTCGCAGTCTAGAAGCCCCGCATTTTAATGATGGTAAAGGGGGGGGGGAGGGGGGCTTATTTTAGCATTTATGGTACATCATGTATGCTTGTTATCTTAAGTGTAGCGAGAGAATCTTTCCTTTGGAAGTGCATGTATTAATATAGTCTTTTTCGCCGTACACATCAACTAAAAATGCAATGAAGATAGTTCTTCCTTTCGTGGTAAAATATCGCTGAAAAAGTTGAGATTTCCCGGAGAAGTTTCTTTTTATATAAACAAATATGCTTCCACTTTTCAGAAGTTGAGATTTTAGGGTTTTATAAAATGGTCATGTTTCAAGGAAAATTCTTGGTTTTTCAACTCTTAAAGTTGGAAAGCGTTGCATATACATGCTAGTTGAAGATGGTGAGTAACACCATTACAATACTTCTTTTTGTACGCTAGTGGCCCATTGTGCATTTTGGACACTAGTAACAAATTTTGATTTTGGACACTAGTAACAAATTTTGATTTTGGACATTAGTGGCCGATAATGAGTTTGGACACTGGTGTCCAATTTCGGATTTTAATTTAAAGTCTCTGTTTTTGGATTTTGGATACTAGTGGCCGATTTTTCTTCGGACGCTAGTGGCTGATTTTGGATTTTGGATTTTGGACGGTAGTAGCCGATTTTGGATTTTAGACACTTGTGGCCGATTTTGGATTTGGGACACCAGTGGCCAATTTTGGATTCGGGACACTAGTGGCTGATTTTTTACATGTTTTTGACGGTAGTGGCCGATTTTGGATTTTGAACGCTAGTGGCCGATGTTGAATTTACGATTTTGGATTTTGGATTTTGGACATAAGTGGCCGATTTTGGGTTTTGGACGGTAGTGGACAATTTTGGATTTTGGACGTTAGTGGCCGATTTTGGATTTTGGACACTTAATCGGCCACCAGCGTCCAAAATCCAAAATCGGCCACTTGTGTCGAAAATCCGTGAAAAGTTGACATACGTGCATTTTAATTGTAGAACGACATTTGAATCAGGTCACGACATTTCCCAATCCGGACTACGTGTTTATTTGACGAACGTATAACGCTTATAACAAAGTTCTAACCAGGATTACTCTTTTCTCAGGTGTGGGACCCAAGTTCTGTTAACATAGCAGACTACGTCCGCATACGAGTTGGTCATGGTCTGACTCCAACCAAAGCGACACTGTTGTTAGGGATGGTAGAACAGTTCAGTACAAGTGTTATATCTGAAGGTATTTAAAATGAAGATAACTTTGAATATCTATGTTAGAGATTTTATGAACCCAAACTAGAGTTGACGATTTTGTTTTTAAAAAGTGTGAAAGTTTTTTTGTTTACCACGGCCTCATACCTGCCAATCAATTTGTCAGCGCTCTTAACGAAAGGAAATCGGCCTGTTCAAATTAAGTGAGTTGCATATTAACGTTTCAACAATGAGGAAAAAATAGAACTAAATTTTAGTTGCTGGTAACATTTATAGTCTTTTATATGGCGAATTTTCCTGCCGCCTTTAGATTTAGTGATTCCCAATGAGTCTCTTCATTGTATTTGGCCAGTCGGACAATGGCTGTGGAATACCAATGGCTGTCGGAAGTATTAGATATGCCAAAATCCTCGACCTATTGTTAAGACTTGCGCTTGGCAGTAACACATTTTCTTCTTTCGCCCCTCATCCTCTCAAGGTATAGGTGGTATGTGGTCATCATCTAACGACAAAGTTGTCAGCATCAACTCCACGACTGGCATGGCAATGGCAACAGCTGCAGGAACTGCTACTATTTACTACAAGATACCTCAGTTGTACTCAGCCCAGACTGAAGTCAAAGTCGAGAGCCTGAGTTACATTCATGTCTCGAGAGATGACGCCCTGGTCATCACCAATATCCCGCGACTGGATGGGCGTGGCTATGTCATTCCTGTTAACTTGGGACACGACTATTTGTCGCAGGAACAAACAACCAAAGCATCTGGTCTTGTAGATGGAATTCTGCTGTTTGAAGAACTAGGTTTCAAACAGGCGACACCTTTCCAGTGTATTCTACACCTTGGTAATGATCTGCATGGCAATATCCACGCACATGACTTGTTTGAGGTGAAGCCCGGGTTCGTCGATGGACAACCAATGTGTTATGTGGTACCAAAGAATGCTAAAGACGATGTGATCAAGTCGGCAAGTTCTATCGCTGCTCAGCTGAGTCTTGTTGTCAGGATTTTCGACGAGATTCAAGGTCGTAGCGAATCCTCGGAGTCATTAAAACTTCCCTTCGTGCCTGCATTTGTGTTGAGTGAAACAGAACTGGAGCTTTCTGCTGATAAACGGAAAGCGCAAGTTTTTGTTATGGCCAATGCTGAACAGCTGAACAACCTTGAGGTAAACTTTGTTCGATTTTTGGTTTGTTTGTTTGTCTGTTTGTTTACTAATTAGATCCGTGTGTTTTTTGCTCTGGCCGGTGGAAACCCTTTCCCTTTGGAGTGACTAGTAAGAGATTTCCCCTTCACACTTCGTCACTAAGCCAAGAGGTGATGACAATGCAAAGTGTATTTACCAATTAAGAGATATTGTTCTTCTCAGGCTTCGCTCAAAAAGAAATTTATGACAGACAGAAAGTAGACCTGTCATTAGTTGTGAAAAGATTTGACTAGCATTTTCGACATTAGAGAGATCCTATGTAAAGAGCTTTTAGAGGCGTGGAATATTAAGCTCGAAGTAGATTTTCTCTTCCTTTCTGTATCCCGATTTGTATAACTTGAGTACAGCTGGAGTACAGTTGAGTCGCTCACCATCGGTCACCTTACGAAGGAAGGTTAGAGGCCGTTTTAAAATGAGGTTCGACTGTAGGTCTTCGAAATGTTTGAGGCGCCACTCCTTTAGGTTTGAGCTGTTTATGTACTCATATGCACAAACGCTGCAAACTGTCACATTTTTATCTCCAAGGTAAGATCTCAAGACCCGTCCCTGGTCAAATTTACAGGGTGGTTAAGTTCAGTTGATAAGGAGGGCGAATATGAGATAGAAGTTGTCGAGAAAAATGGCAAGTCTTTCAAGAGAGTCTGGGTGGAGTTTAAAAGCTTACTTACCGGCCAGAGAGGCTTAGTGTACGTGACTTACACAGCGCCATCCAGTGGTGCAGTCCCTGTGCTGTTACCAGGAGCAATTCCAAGCAGTGAGCAGTGTCCAACAGTCGCAGCAGGCAAAATAGAGAGAAGCTTTCAAGGATTTCTCTTCGCCTTGCTTGGACAGACAAGTGCTTGGATAATCGGTTTGTCATTTTTTATTGGGTGCATAATTCTTGCGCTGATCTTATGCTGCAGTCCTCGTGGCAGGGGTGCCAGTAGTGGAGCAGTGTCTGGAGCGACCTCTCCCAGCCCTCTCAGAGGGACCCCTCAGCATGGAAGCCCTTATCCACAAGGTCCATATCCTGGTTCATCTACAGGTACATTGTCCGCGGGAAGGCCTATTTATCTGAGCTCAACCACAGGCGCATTTTCACCGGGAGCTGGGGCGTATGGATCTCGTGGTAGTGCGAACGATACATCTCCTCGGTCCTTTCCAGAGGAGCACGATGAAACACACCGAGGAATATCCACAACATACCGGCACACCAAAACCTCTGCTCGCACATATCTTTCCGACGATAGTTCTCACGCCTCTGGAGCAACGTCTATTGGGCGTGTTTCACCGAACAAGTCACCCAGATTGTTCAGTGTCAATCAATAACGTAAGATTGACGTGAACTTTCATGATATTTCGATATTTAATGTGCTGCTTGTGGAATTGGCTACGTGTGTACAGTTTAAGGAGGAATGGCATATTTCCTTGTAACTCTCAACGCAAAGATGCTAAAGTTATTGTTCGATGACATTTTTTGTGTTGATGCTTGAAAGGCTAACTGAAGTGTACTTCTTACTTGTCCTAAGTCACTGTAAAAGAGGTTTTAGGGGAAGGGCGAACTCCAAGAAAAAGAAAAACCAACCAAAAATCAATATAAAATGAATTCATACAAGTGAAAATTGAGCGAAAAATTGGCACAACGAAGTACTGTTGTAAAAAATTTCAATAGTCTTCTTTCAAACAAATTCCAAAGGAGGAGAACGAGTCGTCGAGAGTGAAAATCATTCGAGAGAAATTACTTAGTCTGTCCCAATTGGAAATTACGGGCTGGAGGCACTTTGCGAAATAATTGGTGTTAACATTGTTTCAGAAACTCTGAAAGCTCTAGCTTAAATTCGTGGAAGTGATCACTTAAGGTTTTCTAAGCGGATCGTGATAAACTTGATTTTACTAGTTTTCTAATATAAACTAAAACTTTCAAAATGCTGCCTTAACCGTATTTTTATACAGTATAGGTCTTGCGAAAAGTGTATTATGCTGAGAACAGCGGGTTAATTGGATCTTGGAGATAATAATTTTCGATGCGTCTTGTATTTATTGACCCATTTAAATATTTTTGTAGGTACCGTGTCTTTTTTAGACTGCTGGCAGTTCCTCTTGCGCGTCGAAAGTGATCAGCGAACGGAAAAAAACTCTGAGCTGTGCCTGCAACTCTCAGCGGTTGCACCATTACGATGTAACTTTCTCGCTGATTACGTATGACGTGCGTGAAGATCTAAGCTGAATTTAAGAGGCGCTGCTCGCACTCTAAGCCTTTGTAAGATAAAATAGACCTTTCTAATAAATGTATTTATTTCATTTCACATTTATGGTACGGTTAATTTCTTGCGCCCGGCATCCCTGATGCCTGCGGATCGGCGTAAGCTTGCGCCTGCTCACCATTCTTCACGCGCAGTGGAAAAATTGAATCTATTACAGCCTCAACTGACACATTTGTAAAAAGAGAATTAAACTAGCGGCGCACGAGAGAGTTCCCATCGATCGAAGTTTATGTATGAACTAAGATGAAAGTCCGCCAAAAGTAGTCAAATTTAGCCCCCCACGATATTGTTTCCCGTTTGTGTAATAAAGTAGGTACTAAGAAAGCCCTTGAAGACGGTACAAAGAGGAAGGACTGACTAGTCTCTGGGAAACGAGATTTTCTTTGAAAAATTTTCATTTCTATTCCGTAGGATCTTGTTTTAACTTTTCAAAGCTTTTGACTTAGAGAGTCAGAGTACAGTGAAAAAAAGAACAGTGAAAACCCAACGAGAGTTGGTGCCAATGATAACCTCGTTCTCAGATTCCCTTTCCACCCCCTCGCCTCACAGTCTTGCCCATGTGTAACAGCTGGGGTAGAGATTCTGGAAGTGAGATCAGTGCACAGAACTCATTTTCAAAAGATTTACAGCAAATGCCTTTGCTGTAATTATATTGTATAGTTGTAGTGATTTAAACAGGAAATAGTGAGATAATGAAAGAAGTTCAAACAGCAATTTTTTTGCAATTCACTTGCAATGAAATAAGCTTGCAGTGTTTCCCAATGGTTCTGTAATTCCTTCACAACAATATTCAATATTCACGCGCACCACTGTGCAGGTACATGTGCAGATTGTAGGAATACAGTCAATCAGTGTAAGTAAGTTGAATACTTCAAACTTATTAACTTATTAGTTTAAAGCAGCAATATTTTTTAAGGAGGGGGGACCCCCTACCCCTGAGTGTGTCATCTCTCCACCCCCTTGGGGAGAAAAGACAGGTGGATGAAGAGAGAACCAGGAACATGATTACTCATGACCTAAAAAAAGTAATAGGGGTATTTGGCATAAAATTTCTAAAAACATGGACAAAGTACCAATGAAAATGTTAAAAGAAAGGCTGAAAACCATCCTTCTTTATTTCATTAACAAGCTCAAAATTTACTACCTTTAGTTTCTGTTTAGCAGAATATTGTTCAGTGGGTGTGAGCAAGATTCCTTTTCACCCCTACCAGGTATCAACTGATTTCCCAATTACTGATCTAGACTCAGTAATATTGAAAATAAAAGTTGCACTATTTTTAGTTCCATTTATTTTCCAGCTTGATAATAAAGCAGGCTCTTACAAGACACATGCAAACTCTAACTCCGGGTTGACTTAGTTTACAGGAGTACCCCTGAAGAAAATTAGCAACATACTGACACATGCCTAAACCTGGGAATGAGACCCAAATCAGGTTTCTTATGGATGATGACAAAAACGCAACTTTTATATAATACACAAACATTCAGTGAAGCAGATTTCTCATTCAATACTCTTGTTTCAGTTAACTTTGCATTAGTAACATGTACCTTAAATCGAAATAAGTACCCAGAGCCCAACCTTATCCACAGCACCTGAATTTTTCTATTTCAGTCGCCTCTTGTTCCCTTGAGAAGCTGGAGAAAAATCTAACCAATGGTTGAGAGGAGCTGTAAAAACTGGAGTAAAAACAAGTATCTTTAGCTTGTCCTTTTCTTTCAACTGTTTTCTGTAGGCTTCAATAACTTAAAAGCTTAATTTTGATATACCAAGTCTGTGGACCAAATTATAATAAATAATGATACTTTAAGTGAGGGTTTGGGGGCAGAACAGCCAGATGCTGAAATTAAAAAACTGACCAAGAAATCTTTCCCAGCTTTTTTTTATTTTGTTTGCATATAACCAGAAAATTGGAAAAAAACATTGACCTATTTCTGTTTCTGCAAAGATCTCAGGCTTTCTAGCTGTTTATTCCACTCATATTTCACTGCTTAGATATATTGAACCCCCAAACCTTCAAATGTACAAAACTGTCTTTGAAATGAAAATAATAGCATGTATATCTTAATTTCTCTTTGTGAAGTATCTTAAATATCAAACATATCTTGAGATGGTAAAAATAATTTACCTTGATAATTCTAATATAATTTCTCTAAAATGGTTTCCCTATATAAAATAAGAATAGTATAATACTAATAACTGTCAATTAATCTTGCATTACTCTGACCCCTCACATATCAAGATCCGGTCAGTGATTCTCCTTTCTTTCCACTATAACCCACCTAAAATAAGTTGGGAGAATTTGGTGATTAAAATAAGATAAAACTCCTTGTAATCCATCCACCAAAAGGTGAACCATTTCACTCTTACGATCGCATTGGTGCTTCTCCTCACTATCCTCCATGCAGTTATTACATGATGTTGGTTTAGAGAATTTGGTTTAAGATGAATGTCTTATAGTTGATATTTTTCTTTATTCTTATCACCTGTCTGCTTGATATTGAATTGATATTGTTGGGAGAAATTCTATCTTGATCACTCATGGGAGCAAAAGGGTTAAACAAACAAGAAAACTACAGTAACCTCAGATGACGATGTCAACTCAGCTTCAAACTCTTTTCTTACTTTCTAACAGGTCATGGAAGACAGAAAAAATAAATGTGTTCATGAATACACTATACAACAGTATATCTTTGTTAACAAAAAAGATTACCCTCACTACTTCCCACAAACACAGTGCTTGTCAGTTAAAAACCATCCATCTTCTCTTGTCAACCCAATTACCTAAAAACTCCTCCCAAAAAAACAAATATTATCCAACGTACTAACTTCAAGCAAGAGAGTTAAATCAATACTGCTAAAATGACAGCCACACCAAAATTTGAAGTAATTTCAAAGCTTCTGATAAAAAACTGTAAAATCAATGATTATTTGCATTCAGTGCAATATAAATTTTTTTTTTAAAAATTTTAGTACACATAGGGTCATGCACTACCCAATATTGATTATCATACTTGTTTAATATAAATTTCACTAATTATTGATAAGATTTCCCAAGTTTATGCAGTAGTATTTGGGTTCAATTCTCTGCATCAAGTACCTCTGGCTCTGAATTGGATGATGATGATGTTTCTGTTTCTGTCTCTGTGTCAGTTTCATTCTCATCACTCATCTTGCATTCAAGGACGATCTGATCAATATTACTATCCTCATGGCCAGGGTGATATTCGAGGCCTATCTCACTGTTGTCTTTATGGTTATCATGATTGTTACTGTTTCCTTCATGACCAGGCTGAACAAAACAATAACTAAACTGATTTGATGCTTTTCTGTGGTCAAAGTATTGGCACTTCTCTAGATGTGCTGCCATGAATGGTGAGTTAGAATGCACCCACTTTTCAACTGGTGAAAATGAGGTGGAAAAATACCATCGCTGAAATAGAAAGTAGACTGTTGTTATTAAAATTAGTTCCTTTAACTCTCTATACAGTTACTACAGCTGCTTTTCACCAAGAAAAATACTTTAAGTCACTTATATATTTAGATAGTCCTAGTTAAAATTGATTTAGTTGAGCATGTTGCAAAATATACCAGCAAATCACTTCTAAAGAAAACACAATTGTTGTCCCTCTTGGAATACTGATGTGGCAGAAGCATTTCCTAACCTAATGCACAGTATTATGCACCCATCAAAAACCAAATGATTTCATCTACAAAGAAGTTGAAAATACATACAGCTACGCTTACTTTGCTAGACTTAATCTCTATGGATATTTTGTTGGCTACAAGTTCTTAAGAAAACAAGACCATTATTGCACAAAATAAATAACCTTTCCCCACCACTTCCTCAAACAGGATTAGTAACCTTAATTTTCACATAAGACAAATTATATACCTCTTGTTAACCGAGTTTGAGGTCTGTACTGTAAGCAACAGACCAAGAGTTTTCCTGCATGGATTTCAGGCCCAGGTGCATAGCGCGCATGCCATAAATCCAAACAAAAAAATAAGGTTCCGTAACTTACATTAAGGAGCAGGAAAACAAGTTTATTAAAATATTTATCAAATAGATAGAGGGAGAAGATTTCAGTTCAAAAATATTTTAAGTTTAATGAGCCTTATGTTTATCTAATATGGCCCACTAGATTGACCAATCATAGTGAATGTACTAAGTGAGAGATGTGATACTAAAATTGAAATAAAACTTTACTACAGCTTGGGCTTTCTAGTTTACACCATGTAAAAGACATGAAACTTTACTACTACCTGCAAACTAACATGTTGCCAGTTTAACCATTTGACTATACATACAAACTAAATTACTAAATGAACCTTATAAGTCATAGATGAGGTACATGCAATACTTAACACCCACCTTTTGTCTTATCTTCCAAGACCAGTTTCCATCATCATAGATTCTTTTTTCCCATTCAAATAGTACCATACCTTTTGTTTCCAAAACATTCATACAAACCTCCCTCAGCAACTTACATGTGCAAGAGAAGTTACACAGACTGAAGCCATCCAGTTGGCCAGCTATCTTCGCCAAGATATCTAGGGGCAAAGATGTCAGCAGATCCAAACTAGATGTTGTATGCATCTGCATTTGATTTGGAGCAATTTCCCCTGTGGGACCCGTGGTGTCTTGTATCTGACTTTGAGAATATTCTGCTGTACAACAAGAAGTGTTTACTAGAGGTGATTGCTCATATGGTCTGATGCCAAAGCTTCCAAGCTCTTGATTGAAGGTTACAGCTCCATCTTGGCTGTGAGGCAGAAGCCTATAGCGCACAAATGTGCAGCCATACTGCGAAAGAGGACACCGATGCTCCAACCAACCATTCAGCCCTCCCTGAATATCACTATGAACATTCTTGAAATGGCCACTGTACTCATCACGGCGGAATACCTGGTTGCAGGGTATGGAATACATTGGAGACTGTTTCTGGAACTTGGGGAGGGTTTCAACAACAACATTCAAACCCAGGGGTTGGTCGAGGTAGATTGGCAGATGGGCAGGAGGAGGCGGTATGCTGTTGTCAAGGAAACTAACAGAGGCCTTGTCACCTTTACTACTTTCATCTTCCTCTCCTTGCAACGGATGTAGCTCTATATCAACTGGGTTAACATCAGGATTAACATAATCAGCACATTCATTTTCCAGTTTTTCACTTCCAGAAAGCAAATCGCTGAGAATATTTCGGTTTTCGTTATGGGTTTCGTTGTTAAGTGAATTTTCATCCTCGAGATCTCCGCTAGAAATCTGCCCTTCACCTCGTTGTTTACGAAACTTATTTTCTAACGAAGACATTGCTAAAGCCATCGCCATTTTGACAGAATCCGATTTCACAGTCGATGGTTGGGTTCCGCTACCATGCTGTTTCGGTGTGCCTTTCTGTAAGGACGATCTTAACATGTCTACTTTTGCTTTCCCTTTTCTACAACGCCTTCGGAATACTTCCTGAAGTATTCTTTGATCCCTGAAGGCCAGCTCCACATCTAGATGCCCTTTTACTAGAATCGGGTTCGGTTGAAAGAAAGGCACCAAACTTAACCGAGATTTGGAATACACTGGATATCTATTCCACTCCATTGTACAAAAAATCACACTAGCTGGGCACCGCTGTAAGTGGTTTCTCAGGCTATCCCTTGTCATCACAACCGGACATCCGTACTCTGAATTTATACATGGAATTCGACATTTCTGGCACACATTCTGGTGGTCTTTCATTTTACAGCTGTGAAGTTGTGCGGTGCATCCGAATTCACAAAATAACATCTTGCAGCCATTTTGAGAACTACAGTAGAGCTTTACACAATTGTCGCAATGTTCGTGGCTTTTAGACTCCATTATCTACCGGCGAAGAGTCATGGAAATGCAAGAGAGACTTCCACGCACCGGCAATGGTGATCTTCTGTTTTTTTCCTCAGTGAATATTTATTTACATTTAGCAGGTTCGCCGCTGTTTCATGTGACACGGCTTATTCCGAATATCTTCGGCAACTTCCGACATTTACGAGGAAGTATCGATGTAAACGTCATATGACGTCATTGGACCAATATGGCGGAAAAAGCTTATTAACTTTTGTCTTAGAATTATTCCAGAGAAAAGTTTAATCTATCTTCGTTTCTGTTCACGTTATTCTCGTCGACATGACTCTTATGGTTTTCTTTGGGTGCGCTTTTATAGCATTTGGACCAGCATTGGCGCTGTTTTCCCTCACTGTAGCTAAAGATGCTCAGCAAGTGATTGTGTTGATTGCAAGGTAAGCCACTTAGGTTATGATCATGTGTTCCTTAACTTTGTGTACTGCTCAGATTGGAGAAAGCCTTATTTCAATACTTCACCCTTATTTCATACTTCAAGTTTGATCACCAATACTTATGGAAAATTTATTTGTGAAGAAGACGTCATTGAAGTTTGATTCACTCTGTTTAACCCTCGACATCAACCGTTAACATAATTATAAAAAATAGGATACAAAGCTGTAGTCAAAATCAAATTGTAGTTGAGAAAAATTATATTTGAAGTCGTCTTAAGTATTATGATTTCTCTTTTAATGACGGCATGGGGTCTTGTCCTTCCAAAATTCTGAGCTATTGAAGAAATTTGTACAGACCATGTTCAATTACATTCTCTGTCATTCTTCAAGAGCTGTTGGACCATTGATCAGGCTTAAGCTATGTTATACCAGAAAGACCTACTGATTCCTGATCAAGGAAATCTGGAGACCCCTGAAAATTGTTTTGTGGGTCAGATAGATTTAAAGAAACATTTGTCTCCCCATAGTCTTACTTAAAACTGTATTTCCTTTACATTAGGTAGTGATTACCAATACAAATCATTTGGTAAATAAATCTTGTTTTCCAGTGCTTTCTTCTGGTTACTGTCACTACTGCTGTCGTCAATCTGGTGGACTGTTGTGTCTCCCTTAAAGAAGCAGCTAGCATTTGGAATCACATTTTCAGTTATCTTTCAAGAACTCTTTAGATTGGCTTTCTACAAACTGATGAGGTAAGGAAAAAGTACTCTCTAAATTGAAGAAACAAATGGAACCGTAGCAACTAGGTAAACCTTTTTATCAGCGCTATTATCCAAAATGGATTAAGCTATTGTGATTTGACCATAAACATGCAAACCCTCTAACACTCAAGGTCTATTTTTGTAATTCCCCTCTGTAGTTTTTATAAATTTCCATATAAATCAATTCAGAGAATTGGTTACTGCTGAGTAATAATAGTGCTAGTAATTGAACTGAATGGAGTGCAATTTGGTCAAATCTGGTCAGAAATCACATTTGTGTGATTTCTAAATCAAGTGAGCATGTAGGGCTAGTTCAATTTTAGATATTAAGCATGATTTGAAACCACAGTCACTAAAGATGGTATCCCTGTGTAATGTTGTTGAATTGGGTTTTGATGTGAAACAATGGATATATGTCTCTTTGGGTTTATTCAGGAAAGCAGATGAAGGTCTCCTTTCAATGATCAACAACCAGACACCACTAAGGAAACACAGGATTGCATATGGTTAGATTCCCTATTTTTGATCATGTATTAATTAACCTTAACATTTGCACTCTCCATAATGTTTTCTAAACATTTCTTGAGGTGTAGACAAGGTGAACAATTTTTTTGAAAAATCAAGAGCTTCTTCAATTTATGATCATTTTGTTATTCTTGTGACCTCAATGTTTGATTCAGGGGTGATAATTGATATAAGGAGAAATTCAGATCTATTCACTCTTCGAGGTCAAAGGGATTAATAGGATTTCTTATGAAAAAAATCATTGAATCAGTGTAAGAGTATATTCATTTGGTCTGGAGTGTTACTCAGATTTTGTCTCATAGAATACAACACATCGTTTTTATGTTGCATTTTTTATGTAGTTTAATTTGAATGAACAAAGAGAAAAAAAAACCGTTTTCTGCTCCTTCTTTCAGTTTCTGGTCTTGGCTATGGTATTATTAGCGGATTATTTGCCATGGTGAATGTATTGGCAGACATAACAGGCCCTGGGTCATTAGGGTTAGATGGTTCTCCTCAAAACTTCCTCATTGTCTCAGGTAAGTTGCATACATTAAAACTGTAAGCGTTACACATACAACATAGAATGTGCATCAGTTTATGATAGAGCCAAAAAGTTTACTGATCTCTGATTTGTCGTGTTGATAAAAGTCAAATCTAGTATTGTTTTGAGAAATGGTTGTTTTTCATTCAGTCAAAAGTTTCACAATTACAGGTCTTAAATAGAGTGGAATGAGAACAGTATTGTTATAAATTTTCGGCACATTAAGTATATATTTTGAGAGAGACCTTCACTCTAGAAGTTTGGGAATTCTTCAAATTTTCTGTCATGTTGGAGTTGTTAACTCACAAAATGATATTCATCCTCTACAAGTTGAAAGTTGAATTGCTTGTTTCTATATTGTTGTGAACATTTAGTTTACTTATGATGGTTGAAAAATAAAGCAAGATTTGAGTTTTGGAATGAATGTTGTAGAATAGAAAATTAGTTAGAAGTGATGATTGTCTTTAATGCATGCACAAATTTAATTTGATTAGGTTTGAACATAACCTGTTATAAATGACCATGAATATATGAAAGTCATATATTTGAACTGCAGATAAAGATGTGAGTATGAAAGTGATCTTCACAGTAATGAACACTACTTGAGCAGTGGTGAAAATAAGGCCTGAAAAAAATTTCAGGCCTGTACGGGATTTGAACCCATGAACTCTGTGATACCCATGCAGCACTCTACCAACTGAGCTAACAAGCCAACTGGGAGCTGGTCGTTATGTTGGTTCCAAATAAACCTGTGAAGGGATGAATAAATGACTGTGAAATATGAAAGTTAGGCCTTATTTTCACTACTGCTCAAGTAGTGTTCATTACTGTGAAGATTGCTTTCATATTCATAACCTGTTATGTTAGAAAATTGCTTTAAGAAGAGTCATAAGTAAATTTTGCTCTTGGGAAGTGTTCAGTCTTGGGGATACCCTGTGATGGGAGCTCAGTTTCCTGACTCCACTGGAGATTGTTTCAGTAAAGTGAAGGTGCTTTTAGTGATTTTGTATCAAAACTGATACTGTTGTCTCAGTATTCTTGACCTAACAAAAGTCCAAACTCCAAAAGTAGGCGTAAACCCAATTGAAGGAAAAAAAACACTTACCAAAAATTAGTTTTTTTATACATGTATTAGCACAGGACAAAAATGGCTTAAAACCTTGCTGTTGTTTTTTACAGGAACGTTTCATTAGTAGTTTTAACATATTATAATAGCACTGAACATTACTTTTTATTCAATCTTAATGTACTAAATAAATGTGTAAAATTGATACAAATTTTATGAGTTTCTTTACAACCTTTTCTCTTTTGCAGCTTTCTTGACCTCCTGTTTTGTTCTGCTGAATACATTTTGGGGAGTAATATGGTTCAATGCTTGGGATCACAAGAATTGGATCAACATCATTCTAGTTGTGGCCAGTCACCTTTTTGTATCACTTATTGTATGTGAATGGTTCTATACTCTAATGACAATAACAATAAATATAATTATGATCTGAATTGAATCATGGAGATGAATTCATAGATCCTTGTAGCTTAATTATATTCACTAATTAAACAAAAAATACAGAAATTGAAGGCTACAATTGATCAGGGCCCAGTTTTCAAAGGGTTGATAACATTATCCAATTTATTTTATTGTAAAAGATGTTGAAAATAATTATTGTTTGAATAAACATGTGAAGAAATTAGATAATTGTGGATCCCTTGATAGCCTTGTTTAATCATGTTGAAAGTATTTTTAGGTTACTCTCACTTTTTGAAATTGTTGAAAAACAAAATGCTAGAAACTCTGCAACTTTTAATTTTCTCTGTGGAAGTCAGCCATTATTGCTGCTAAGTCTGTTTCAGTTATTGACTAATTGTTTTGTTTTTCTTAACAGACGCTTCTGAATCATCAATATCACTATGTTGCCTCACTTGTGTGTGCATACATCACCATGGTAATTATGGGAGTAATGGCGTTCAAGACTGCCGGAGGAAGCCTCTTTAACATTTACAGACTCTTTTCACGGCAGACACACCATGATTACTAACATGAATCCAAACTTGACCAAAATGTAAACTGTATATAAGATAACTGACCTCATAAAATGTTCAGCAAGTTTAATCACAGTGGAAATGTAAACCGTTGAAGGGACAACACAATGTGAGGCTTAGAAAGCTCGCGGTTGTTAAAATTCTTTAGTACATGGTATCCTATACTGCTCAGACTTGCTGAGATAATATTTCCTCCAAAACTTCTTAAACCCTTTACACCCAAGTATCAGTGTCTATATTCTCCTTAATCTTCCCTATACACTACCTTTGTTGCTGATGAGGAGAATTTGTTTAAAAATCAAAGCTTGTTAGGTTAGCAATCATTTCCTTTATTCTCCTGATCTTAATGAATGATTCAGCAGTATTAATGTAAGGAGAAATTACATGCTGGTCACTCTCAGGGTTTAAGGGGTTAAACAGGCATTAGAGCAAATGAACTGGTGCTTGAGAAGGTCTAGCAGAAAGCATATGTTTGCTTTTGTTCCTATTTTTTCTTCAACTTCTTGCATATGTAGCTTGCAGTTGTGTCAACAAAACACAATTTTCATCTGAAGGTGGTACCTGTTCATTAATAGATGTATCTGTCTGAAATCCATCACCAGATATTTTGACAGTTATGGAAATACTTTGATGATATTGTCTGATAACTTTGCCTTCATGTAATTTGCTCAGATTTGAGGCTTATTTCAAATTAAAGGTATCGAAAAATAGAGAAAAGGAAAAAAAAAAAAAAGGCGTGAAGATTATATGTGTTTAATGGTAATTAACAAGTATAATGCTCAAATGTTTGAGCATTGTACTTGTACTTCTTGGAATTTGCAAACAGCTCTCTGAAAAAAGAAATCTTCATCAAACCTCTTCAATAGCCCTTAAGATTCAACCACCAAGAGGTAAAACACCACATGAAAGTTTTCAGGGATGCAGGCTTGCAGTACATTCTCACTATTGATGAAATCTAGCTTTGCTCATAGTCAAGAGATGAAGAAAGATCAGTTCTGCTTTTCTCTCTCAGTGAAACATGATCACATTAATTGGCAGTGCTCATTTATTTACCCCTTACACCTTACCCTGCCTGATCAATATAAATTCAGTTGACTGAAAGGTTAGTTAAAAGATGAATATGCTGTACAGGTAAACACTGGACTTTTGCAGTGCAGTTTTAATGTCTCAGTACTCTGTATAAGTTTGAACAAGCTGTTGGTTGGCATAACACAAGATTCATTAAATCGTTCTTCCCTGACAACTTTGTCTAGTCATCTCACTGAAGTTATGTCGCCTGGAACCTGAGTCATGTCACACAAAATTTTAGTCATTAGGTATACTTGACTTTTTTTGGGGGGCAACATGTTTGATTATTGTGATATCTTATACAAAGTTCTTCACTTCACTTCAAGTGTCTATAATGATTCAGTGGTGAAAACAAAGGTGAGAAAATTTGACCAAGTTTATTTACATGAAAGAAGCCTGGGTGCTTGCAGTAGTGTGTCTATAAGTTAATGAAAGGAACTAAATTATTTTTAACAAATGTTCCAAAAACCGTTCTCTTTTGTATAACTGAGCAGGAAATGTGCTTTAAATCACATTAAGTAATTGTTCTAGAAGTTCAATAATATCTACATCATATTGTTGATATTCTAAACAGCTAATAGGACAGCAAAGCTGCAGTATAATTTTCTAGGTATGAAAATGATAATAGAGTAAAATTCTACCATTGAAGATACAGATTTGAAGGCAAAGAAATTATTCGAATTGCGCTTCATTGCAGCTCAAAAAGGTCTGAAATATTGCTCAAATTTGAGAAAGAATGACCTCATTTATTTCATTTTGAAAAAGAGATCCTGCTGTCAAGATGAATCATTTCAAGCTGATGGATATGGCAAGAGAAAGAAAATAAAAATTATACATTGGCATTGAGAATATTGATAATGAGATCAGATAAAAGCCATACATTTTCATCAAAGACTCAGATACCGAACAATTCACATTGAGAACACGGAAAGAAGCAATAGTTTCTTCAGAGTAAGTGGCAGTCGCCTCGCTGAAGGAATCAAAAATAAGCGATTTCATTGAAAGACAGCTCTTTACTGATATTTAAAAGAACACTTTGAAATGTATTGTTATTGACTTAAACAATCTACCGGAGAGTATTATAACATTTCCTTTGTTTTCGTGTATAGCGGAAGTTGAGGAACCTCCACCCCCAACCTCTGTCACGCTATACGAATGCATGGCGTGACAAGGCTAAACGAAAGTTGTCGTTAGTTTTGCGGCTACATCACTTTTGACAAAAATCACATGACAATATTGGGACGGGAGCAGATCGAAGATTACTTTTGCATCATGCTTCGTTCGTTCGTTTGTCTTCTTCTTGTTACTGTTGTATGCCTTGCATCTCCTTCTTTTAAAAGAGTTGTAAGACTTTCTGATCCTTTTGGAGAACTTGGATGGGAACTTCAAGAATTGCAAGTCGAAGATTATGTGAAAGGTTCCGTGTGGCCTAAACCTCAAGGAGAAACTCCTTCAGGTGCTGTGTATAAGTTGACGCCGGAGAATTTTCAGTTTTCTATCACTGGTGAGAGCAGCGATGTTCTCAAAGAAGCCGTCGAACGTTATAAAGTGTTAACATTCCCAGACAATATGAGCGTATCGAAGAAGAATTTGTCCCAAATTACTAAGCTAACTGTTGATGTGGTTGACAAGTATGAAAATCTCACTCTGGATTCCGACGAATCTTGTAAGTAGACTTATTTATTCTTTCCCAGGCAGGAATAAAGCATGTCGCCTCGTGTCTGATCGAAGAGGAATTTCGTTTGTGTTTTAATTTGACTGTAACTCGCAAATAATACGAACTTGTTAGAGAGGCGTAGCTAATTATTGTGGAACACACAGATTATTCAACGGCCGTAATTCTCTAGTCATAAGTGGAAAATCAAAGATGTTTCATGTCTTTCATGCTGCTTACTAGTTGTATATCTGAAAGTTCTCGTCAACGACACAGTAAAGTGCAAAATGCGAACAATTCTCATAGTTTCTGATATTATCGGTTTGTTATGATAATATTATTCCCTCGTCTCATAGTTCCTCAGCGTGGTTCGTGCCTTTTTTAAATATTATTGAAGTAGAATCCCTTTTTGTTTTTCTTCCCTGTTAATGTAAAGCAAAAGGGTTCGCAGAATATTTCGATATTTCTGCTTTACACCGCTGCATACTTTCAGTCTCGTTGAGATGGTTTTCGGAAGTGGATGGTTATCAATATGAGAATTTTAAACAGCTATGTAATAAACCTGCTCTGAGTTTGTTTTCCACCTGTTGTTACCAGTTGCATTGCATAAGGACAGATCAATTGAAGACATGGTTACCCAAAAGATTGTCAACTCGGCCAGGTTGATATTTACGCTGCAACATTTTGAGCAGTCAGGGACAATAATGTTTTTCAGTCTATGACATAATAAGAGTAAGACTCTATTCTAACAGACACTCACATGATAAGTCCATTTTTGGAAACTAGAGAATAGAGAATGAAATTAGGCACTATGATTCATGTAGCTATATATTTGAGAGTTTTCAAGCTGGGTAAAATAACCCAGGGTTAGTGTGAAATCTGATTTCAGATCTTAAAGCTTTTTACGAAACTTCGTAAGAATTCTTTCTGTCCACAAGTTGATGATTGGATGCTCTTAAAATAATTAAGTAAAAATTATCTCAATAGGCTTTTAAACAAAGGAATAATGAAGTCATGATTGAAAGATTTCCTTGGATTAGTGCTAACTGACCTTCAGTTCATTTAGCACAAGTAATAAGCTTTGTCAAGGAGGCAGAATAGGACATTTCATGATATATCTGATGCATTTGAAAGCAATCTTGGCTCCAGTCTGGTCTTCTTATATTGTAAACCAGATATCTTCATTGAAACCACAGATAAATAAAACAAATGGTCCAGCTCAGAATAAACAGTAAAGCAGTAACAAAGAGGGGCAGGCAGTCAGGGCACAAATTTAAGTAAAATTCATGCATCACAGTCATGTACTTCAAAAAACTTCAAATCACACCTACCAGTAACCTTGCTTTTCTCTAAAAATTCATCACATGAATTTTGGGTTTTAATTATGTCACGTGTAGACCCTTCGCCACCTAATCACAGTGACCATTTGGTCTTAAATCTCTTCTTGTCTCAAAGGGAAGGGATCTTGGTAGGACTTGATTTTTAAAAGTATGAATGACTTACTGACATTAGCTGAAGGAGTCAGTGGGGCTTTTAAATTTACTGTTAATTTGGAATCCTCATGAGGAATGGAACCTCTGACCTTCAGATTTGGTACTTTGTCAGATGCCTTACTAAAGGTGCACATCACAGTGAAGAATCAGAAGGTTTGAAGTTCAATTTTCCATGAGGAATCAGTTTTTTTCTTTGTCTGGAGAAGACTAAAAGTAGCTTTCTGTAATGGGTGTGGTGTTGAATTTAGGCTTGATTAGATAGGTTATAATAGAGTGTCCATGACAGTTTCTAAATTTTACATTTTGGTCAACAATTTCTTTTTCCTCAGATAAACTGGAAGTTAAAGCTCCAATGTCCTCCATTTTTGCTTATACTGTGTGGGGAGCACTGCGAGGTAAGGTTTTTGAGTCCATGAGATGTTTACATGCAGGGTTGTGTGAGGAGAATTTTATTTTATAGGTTTACTATACTTTTGTACAATAACTTGCTGAAATACACAGGAAACAGTGAGAAATTCCATCTATCTCTCATTTGGTGCCCAGAGTTTTTATCTAGCATTTATAGGGTTGGATTATTCTTCAGTTTCTAAGCTAAATTCTTTGGCTGGACTTTGATTGCCTGAGCTGTCTTTTATTCAGATATTGAGCCATTATGTAATATGTTATCCTGTTATCTATAGTTTAATAATCTCCTGCCTTTCTTTTCTTGTTGAAAACTCATATTTCAGGTAGCAATTCATCACCTGGGAAACAGGATAGGGTTTCATTTAGAGGATATTATTTTGTTGACCAAATGTCTCACAGCTTGAAGAAAATTACTATTGAATGAGATCTGGGGTCAAGTTAGGAGATTACTATTTACGTGTAGCATGTTTTCTTTTTTTCAGGCCTTGAAACATTCAGTCAGATTGTTCACCAAGATCTAGATGGCTTTGTAAGTTATGTTTAAAATTATTTAGTACCTAATTATGTATAAGAGATGGATCAATGTATGTGTTGCCATTAAAAGTTAATTTTGTACTTTGTGGAGCATTTTTTGATAACATATAGTTGCTAAGCTGATTGTCAAGATGGAGACACTTTTAATGGTAGAGGGTCTTCTCACATGCTGCCCTAATCACTTCTTCCGATATGGTTGTTATACTGTAACGCTACTCAGAAAACTGGCATGTCAGTTTCTCTAACACCATAACATTTGTTTCCCACAGCTCAACTTGTACACTCCTGTAAATAACCAAGATGAAATTTCCAGTTACAATATCAATACAATATCATGCAGAAAAGTGATGAGAATAAAGAAAAATATCAGTGAGGGGATTAATTATTAGAACATTGATCTAATACCAAATTCTCCCAAGTAAGGAGACTTACTAATGAGATCTTGGGAGTGAAAGGATGAATAAAATTTTTTCATCTTCAGCAATTAACTGTTCATTATTAATTTTTGCTTGTTTATTCACAAACAGTATTTTGCTAATGGGACACAGATTGTGGACTATCCTCGTTTCCATCACAGAGGATTTATGATCGACACCTCTAGACACTATCTAAATCTCTCTGTTATCTTTAAGTTCCTGGTAAGTTAAATGGTATTGGTCTTACACATTTCAAAAAAGAATAAGTATTTATATCAGGGTAATTTGGTATTATCAAGAGGAACTTAAAGCTGACATTTCAAGTGTTAGCCCTTCATCTGAGTGAATCATGTATACTTGAAATATAAATGCTACTTGTATACTTAATCGACAATCTGCCAATGGGGATTTCAGGGCCACAACAAACGAATTGAAACATTTTGAATAAACATACATTAAAGTGTTTTAAAACCCCATCTGGTGGGAGGCAAACTATTTGGCTAAAGGTTGTACAAAGCACAGCTAAGGAGTTGAACTCGGGACAAACCAGAATAAATCCCAGTGAGTAGCAGGGTGGACGGCTTGAACTCAGGATCACCAGATTACAAGTTCAGTGCCCTGACCACTTGGCCACACTGCCTCCACTTTTTTTTGTCTACTATTGTTATAGGTAGGGGAGTTGCTCTTCATTTCTGATGCATACTGTGTGCCTTTTTTTTTTTTTCCCACAGGATGCCATGTCATATGGAAAGTTTAATGTTCTTCATTGGCATGTTGTGGATGATCAATCCTTTCCATTTTACAGCAAAACATTTCCACAGCTGAGTGGAGTGGTACGTATGAATAAGTGATGACATCTAATAGTAGGTAATTGATGCTGTTAATTTAATCGCACTTAGATTAATTAGGTCTCAGAAATGTTAATTTTTAATGGTTGTCTTGGGGGTTGAAGGCAAGTCAGCTGGCAGGCAGCATATTTTTCTTGACACCTTGCTTGGTTTTGCTAACTACTGCTGTCATCAAGTCCAGGCATGGCCAATAAGATGTTTTGATTATTATTGTTATAATAATTATGATTATGAACTGACATTATTTAATGGTTTGAGCAAGTGTCAGCAGTGGCCATAATGGCAATCATTGTGTAAAATTCTTAGACAAGGTTCTCTGCATAAGTGCTTTTCTCCATCCTAGAGAACAGTGAGTTGTCAAGGAAACCTGCAAAAATTCTAAGCTGCTGCATGGCATGATGCTTTAGTTATCCCAACAATAGTCTGTAGTTTCAGTACAATATGGAATAAAGTGGTTTTTTTAGAATAGCAAGCAAGTGGTTTTGAGGGCCAGGAAGACCTTCTATGTCTAAGGAGATGTGGGCCCCCCTGAAGATCTAGGCTCTTGCTGTTAAATTTTTTTTTTTTTTTGGAGGGGGGGAGGGGGTCAATCCAAATTCATGATTCTTTGTTATTCCAAGAATTCAACCAGTTTGACAAAATATGAAGGAAATTCCATTATGTTAGCCAAGTACATGAGGTTTGTGTAATAACTGTAAGTGGGTAGCCAGTGCATCACAATCAAGCTGATGAACATGCTATTCAGCTGTTATTGAACCTCTGCAGTCAGAATAGATACCTGTGCTTCCAATATTTCAGACCAGTACACATTAGTTAGATGGTGCTAGTTATCAACTGACAAATCCAATGGGCCATGTTACAGTTGTGCACTTAGTTGCCAAGTCTTTGATTTAGATTAGGCTTAAGGTGACCTTGCTGTGATAGAGATCAGTATCTAGTTGGCATGATAACAAAGTAATTTACATGTGAAAAGCAGCAAGGTTTGTATCATAACAAGGTAGACCTTAGCCTTACTCCTGTTCAAAGGCCTGGCAACTAAGTATACAACTGTAAAATGGACTATTAGCATACCATGTTGAGTAAATTTGACTTATTTCAGGGTGCATTTAATAACCAAACGCATATTTATACTGAAGAAGAAGTTAGTGAGATCCTGGAATATGCAAGAATGAGGGGAATAAGAGTTGTTCCTGAGTTTGACACACCTGTGAGTTTTTAAAACATATTAAGATGTATAACTACTTGTTAAATTTAAAAATTTCAATTTTCAAATACAAAAATGTGGTTTAATGATTTGGAATACAACAGTTTGTCATGAACACTCTAGCAAGAACATAGAAAAAAAAGTCCTCTTTTGAAATATGCCTTAAAGTGTATGTGCCATTCCTGCATGGCTCAATCACACATCCCTCATTTAGGCAAAACGAAAAGACTTCTGTGGCAGTTCCAAATCAAGGATCCAGGTTCGAACCATCTCTTTCAGACCAGTGGGTAACCTGGCTGAAACTAAAATTCTTCTAACAACGAGATTGCATATAATCACTCAAATAAAATTCTTTGAAACATTCTTGGCTTGAATTATTTCTTTACTGTAACTTTTTAGCCTCTGGAGTAAAAAAAAACCTGAAATCCCCCCCTACCCCCACCACCTATATAAAATTATTTGATCCATATCCCTGGACAACCATCATGTAGGTGACCATAATTGGGCTCTTAATGGGTTTTTACATTCAACACTTTTATAAGCACATGAAATAGAATGAAACATATTTATGTGATGTTCATGTAGGGTCACACCTTTTCTTGGAGGAGTATTCGCAATCTACTGACACCATGCTACAAAGGAGAGAAACCATCAGGGTAGGAAGTTATGAATATTAATTGTTGAATTTCGATTTTAATTATGTTGATGGCAAAAATATCTTGATGCTGTAAATCAAATCAATTATTTAAAAATACCATTCCTGTTAGTAATGGTGGCATTTTCTGATTGGGTGTGGAGTCCATTTTATGGCAGCATTTATTGGTAATGTTACTTCCATCTTTCACATGTTTTAAGAGGCTGGCATAGAATTGAGTTCATGTGGTATTTAATTGTTCTTGGTCTAAGATACTTATTATCATACTTCATTAAAAGGTATTCTTTCAATTGTTACAAAATTGTTCAGTGCAGCCCAAACTTTGTTACCTTGCACCCACCAATAGTGTAGCTCCATTTTCTGCATATAAACACACCCAACCCACACTTCCTCCATGTGCTCTGACAAAGGGTTTATGCTTGAAACAGCAGCTTTGAACCTCATGACAGTGGCCAATTTACATTATCAACTCAGTTGATAAAACTAAATTATTGTGCTACACTCCCCCAGCAACATAGCACCCATCCCTCCACAGAGGGTTGGGACTGTGACCTTGTTCTCAACTTGCATGGCTCTGTTACACCAATCAGATTAAGATAGAGACAGTCAAAATGTTGGTCATTTTTTTCAGATCTTATGGACCCATTAACCCAATCGTAGAGGCCAACTATGATTTCCTGACTAAGTTCTTTCGAGAGGTGGCAGAAAGATTTCCAGACAAGTACATTCACCTGGGTGGTGATGAAGTACCCTTTAACTGTTGGTGAGTGTGAAATTCAAAATCCTGAAGATTAACTGTGAGAAGTGTAATGTGTTAAATGTGCATCTCTTCCTAAACCCCACCCTCCCCTTCCTCCCCTCGCACATGAATAGATAGTGACCCTCATCAGAATTGTTTTGAAAAGGAAGTAAAATCCTTAACAGATGTGTTCAAACTTTGCAAAATTTATACCTATGCATGTGGAAAATGCAAAATAAAGTTGGAGTCAGCATTTTGTTTTTGCCCAGCGTGCCATGTCATTTTTAAAGATAATCATTTTCTTTTTTTATGTCAAGCATTTGTTTCATTACCAATTCTCTTCACAAATTTGAAAAGGAAGCAGAGTGTTTTTAAATGGTGATAACATTCTGAGATTTTGTTTTGATTTTGTTTTAGGCAAAGCAACCCTGAGATTACTGAGTGGATGACTAAAATGGGCTACGGCAAAAACTACTATTTACTGGAGCAATACTATGAACAGAAGTAAGAATTGTTATAAAAGATTATTAAATCATTAAATTTTGTACTAAAATTAATAATAACAATAATAATGATAATAATAAGTAATGATAATAACAAGAGTCATGATAATAATCACAACTGCAATCACAATGACCTCCACTACAAACACGATTCCAATCACACTAACTACCACCAGGAACACAACCACCACTGCGATCATAAAACTTTCTCAATCACAACCTCCACCATGATCTGCACCTCAATTCCAATCTGCATCCCCATCCCGACCTCCATGATTGTGATAATGATAAGTAAATAAATGTTAATGAGCATGGGTGGTCAGCAAAGCTGTTGGTTTAGTAGTAAAATGAAAGGGTATATCTCCCTTTCAAAGTGGTTGAAATGTAGAAATTATTGCCAAATCTGGGCAAATGGTAGGGACAATTTGAAAGGAATGAGTTAAGAAGAATACCTAATGGGTTAATTATTAGAACTAATGAAATACCCCCAGGACATCACTGCAGTGCTTCACTAACAAATCAATGAGGCCCTAGAATGAGTTTAGAATATCCTGTACTAAGAAAATAAAGGCATGTAATAAAATACATAGCACACAATCTTCTCGACAAATACTTGTCTTAGTATTGGAGAGAAACATTCAATGTGACTGGTGACATTCATTGTATATATTCTATTTTAATTTTATTTTCAGGCTTTTGAAGATAATAGGGAGTCTAGAGAAAGATTACATTGTCTGGCAAGAAGTGATTGACAATAACGTGGAAGTTCTGCCAAACACTGTAGTTAATGTTTGGAAAAGCAGTCCAGCTTGGCCAGATGAGATGGCTAAGGTGACAGGGAAAGGTTTAAAAGCCATTCTGTCATCTTGTTGGTACTTGAACTATATTTCCTACGGAATAGACTGGCATAAGGTTTGTGTGATTTTATTTTTACCTCAGATTATAGGCTTTCCTAGCCATTGAACGCCCGGAAATAGCTAGCATGTTAGTTCTTTGTACACTTACTAGTACATGATCTATCAAAGTGGTGATGACATTCAACAAAGTTATCAGCAAAAGGGTTTTTATTACATAAACTGCAATGTTATACTAGGATTACCAGCCCTAATAAAAGCAGTAACAACAGACATGAAAAAGTATTGCATTTTTTTATGTGTGTTTGATATCGCCAATCAGCTGCTGACACATCACTTACCTTTTGCACCACTCGGCCAGGTTGATAAGTGAACGGCAAAGCCTTTCTCACTCTAAATTCAAGGTCATTTGTGGGAATTTTTTCGCATTATGGCTGCTAAAATACTGTAAAAATCTGCATTGTTTACAGTGACATTCTTAGAAGGGAAAAAACTTTCGAGAAACTTTCCTAGAAGGGGAAAAAACCAAAATGCGCAACAAAAAACAGAGAGTTGGGTATTCAGTGGCTTTGGTAACGGCATTTCTTGTGGCTGAGATAGAAAATTGATCTTGTCCCTGAAAGATTTCTTGTGTAAATAAGGACCAAGTCAACAATTGAGCATTTTGTGCAATTGTTTGTTTTTGAAGTGTTTCAATGTATATTTTCATCTTGAGCCTTAGCACCAACACACTTTACAACTTTTATGCGGGGATTTTTTATCCTTTTTATTTTAATTCATTAATAAAGTTGACTTTTCTTTTCAGCAAAGGGCTATTGTATTTACATGATAAACAAAATAATACATGGTCTTCTTTGACCTGCATCAGTTTTGCATGACCAGAAATCATTTACCAAACCTGCAAGATGTACATTAGAGTCAGTGAAGACTCAGTACACATCTAGTGAACATCATATTTTCAGGCCCTACCATTGTTTTTTTTACTGATTGTTCTGTTGCCAGCCCCTTGTGCATGGGCCAAATAGTAAAACGGAAAGAAGAACATGATTCACTATTTACTTTATGGACCCTGAAATTGGTTCCTTAGTGATAGATATGCCTTGGAAGTACAGCAAGTGCCTATAGTGCTGCTATAGAAACTGTAGAAAGGTCACTGGTAGCAAATTATAATGTACATGTGACACACAATCATTTGTGATGCATTGTGCTATTTACAGCATGGACCCCTTTGCTGGTCTAGTGTGAATAGTCATGTGATCTCCAACTAGGTTTAGATGTAGATCTCATTTATTTGTTCTTTGGTTTTTTTTTTCCTTTGTTTGTTTTTTGTTTTTTTTCATACATTGCAGTACTACCAGTGTGATCCAGAGAATTTTAATGGTAAGCTTTGGTGATTTGTTACTGATAATCTAGGTTAGAGTGGAGCTTTCCTATAATAAGATATTATGCTCACTGTTATAGGTTAAAAATCATATGCCAAGCTCATAACCAATCAGATGTTCAAGATTATAAGACCAATTATGACTTGGTCAAGTACATTCTACTAATTTGAAGCCTCTACCTTGGATGTTTTTATCATTCTATCTGGCTGTCATGTCCACTTTGGTTTTAGTGTGACAACATTTAATCCAAAGGGCTCATGACTGTGCAGATTAAGGTAGAATTAATGAATTACAGGCTCAGATATAGTCTTGCTTGAGAGAAGAGTTGGCTCAGCTGAAAATTGTTTTCCTTTAGCCTCCTTAGAAATGTCAGCAGTTTACTTCAGTGTTTTCCACCTGTGATGGGGCATTCTATTTCTAAAGAGGAGCATGATAGTGTAGCAGCACAAAAATAGGGGGTGGGAAAACAAGAAAAAAGAGAATTTTGAAATAACAGTCGGGTAGGAAACTGCTTCAGAACCATGCTTTGAGCCAGGAAATCTTGCTATTGTTGGCCAACCTGCTTTAGACCCCCAGTCAATAAATAATTGCACAAGGCTTTGGCTGACCCCCAAGCCAAAATTTATGTGACACATTTTCATCTATTTAGGGACGGATGCGCAGAAGAAACTGGTTATGGGTGGAACTGGTTGTATGTGGGGAGAATTTGTAGATGGAACAAATATCTTGCCGAGAACTTGGTAAGACACATTATGTTTTCTTTTTAACGGGATCAATTATGTCATTTTTTAAATTATTGGTGCTTTTCAGCACTTTAAAGCAATTGACTTTGAAGCAACCTTGTTTCATAGCTAAAATTTTAAAAAATGTTTGAGAGAGCAGGAAAAGCATCAAAGTAAATATTACAAAACCAAAAAAAAAACCTTCAGAAATTTGATTTTACTCAATGTGTTGCAGAGATTCCTAGTCGATTGATTTTTAGTTAGAATTGTAAAACCTTCGAGTGTAAAGCTTGTATTGTATCCCCTCACTATTTCAGGCCCCGTGCACTTGCTGTTGCTGAGAGACTTTGGAGTAGCAAATCAGTGACAGACCTGGCTGATGCAGACAGTAGGCTTTGGGAACATCGCTGCCGCTATCTCAGGTGAGGAAGTGACACCCCACTTTTGATCCATACAGCCAACATCACTTATGTTTGCTCTAATGCTTAGAAAAGACTATGTTACAAAAAATAAAAGAACTTTTTACTGATATTACTGCGGATTTTAATTTGCTCTCATTATCTTGGTGGAAAAAACTGGTGGCACACCTCTGCATGCAGATATGGACATGTATGTCGATATCTGCCACTGGATAACAAGGGAGATTGAATCAGACTTGTGTAGAAGCTACCTTCCATGTGACTCAGATGAATGTTCTGTTATGGGAAATTCTTCAAGAAACGGAGAGGAAAATTATCTGACCTAATTTACAATGAAATGCAGTGCAGCTTGAGGCAATGATTAATTCTCAGACTTTTGAAGCTTAAGGATCAATTTGAAGACAGTAAAAGAGGTCTGATTAAGAGAAAATAATGGAACAGTTCTCTCATTCTCTCAGTCTTGTACTTATTTCTCTCCCAACCTTAATAGTGCTCCTCTGTGTGATTGTTTTTCTTGTAGGCGTGGCATCCCTGCTGAGCCAGGAGTCGAGGCCAAGTATTGCCGTCACGAATGGAATGTCTGAAGACAAGAATTGTTGAGAAAAAGCTATTTTCCTATTTTCTTTTGTAATAGATTTGTGTATTTGCGTGTGACATAAATTTAGTTTCTGTAATGGTTAAAAAATCCATGTTAAGTTCCTGGTTTCTATTCTTTGATCCAGTTTTGAAATAAAATATTAAAGCATAGAAAATCTGGCCGGTACATTGTAGTTCTGGGTAGCTGATACCATGGTGGTCAAAAATTCTGACACAAACATCACATCACAAACATCACATCACAAACACCACATCACAAACATCACATCACAAACATCACATCACAAACATCACATCACATCAAAACATCACAAACATGGTCCTTCTGTTGCAAGGCAAGCAGGCCACCCTATCTTCATACATCATTCAACAAGAATTATTCTCAGAAAGATCTGCAAAGGGGCAAGGACAAATAAGGTTGTAGGTTGAATTACTGTCATGGTAGAAGCATTGTGGAAAGTAATAAAAACCTTTAGTCAATCCAAGAGAGGGCTATAGATCAAGGGAAATGTGACCAGGATTACTTCACATCTGAGGGTGAGGTAACCAATCTGAGGGGAGAGGTAATGGCTTCACCTGGTGGTGACCTGATGACAGTAAGGGGCAAGGTACCTTAGCTTGATAAGGAGACTATGAATGAGACTACATGGTGAGATGTGCTAGAAGAACTCGAACAAAGCAGAACAAAAAAACTGCCAAAAATTTTCACTCAAGTTTATTGCTATTTGAAAAAACAAATATTAGCAAAGGATGTCAACTTCAACATCATTAGCTTCATCTTTGTTCCTTGAGCTTAGTGAAATTACCTGAAAAGTGAAAAAAAATAAAAATAAAAAAGTGTCCCTTGGTAACTACTAGAAACAAAATTAATTTAACAAATTTGACTAGGCAAGATGTTACATGGCAGCGTCCATAGTCATAAATTTATTACAAATGTTTTAAACAGCTTGGTTATTTCTCAGAATCTATGAGTACCCTCAGAATAATTATTTCAACATGTAAAAATGAAAAAACATATACTTTTTCAATGACATAGTTTAAAATTCTTGGGTTTACCTTAAGGGATTCTCTAAAAATGAATTATAACTATCTTCCAAAGACATGTAATCTCACCTCCTCATTCTGAAAGAGACCACTTTTCTGTTCTTTTAACATTTGTCTGTGAACTCGTTTCAACAAGCCTTTATGTTTGGAGGATTTTCTTGAAATTCTTTTCATACTTAGAGTTCCCCTAGGTTTTCTCTGAAAGAAACACACCTTATGGTGAGCTCATGTAACTTATAAAAAACTGAAACAAAAGATATGCCATTTTCACCTCACTAATGCACTTTTAATTCTTAACTTTGCTGTTGAGTAAAGAAAGATATTAAAACACTCTCTGAAATTCATTTAACTGAAACTTTGACCTTCCTATTTCATTACCAAGGTTCTAACCTCTCAACTACAGAGAACTTGTTGCAAAACAAGATCATCAACTACAGAAGGTTCATTTTAGAACAGCATTCTGCAAACTGCAGCTGTGACCACCAGTTTTCCTCTCTCAATTTCACCTTTTTTCAACACCATTAAAATTTTTACCTTTGAATGCTTCCTATGGGTGAAATTTGAATTCTGTCTGCATGTTTCTGACGTTGATTCTGGTAAAAAAAAAAATGGCAGCCAAAGTTATTTCTCAACATGATGTTAAAAAATTTTTAAAAATGCTATCTACCAATCTTGTCTCATTCGATTCATCAAGAATTTCTTATGTTCTATCCCTTCTGACCATCAGTAACATGTGGCAATGACTTTTGTGACCAAGTCACAATTGGTTTAAAATTAGTTTTCAATCTGATAAACTGGCTACATGGTGCAAGTTTCGGCAATCCTGCCTTACTTTCAACACTCAATTGATGATTGCTCCAGGTGGAGGCCAAAACAAGTTGTCAATAAAACAAACCAAATAATAAATAAATAAATAAATAAATAAATAAATAAATAAATGAGAGCTTAAATATTACCTGAGCACAGAGGACAAGAATCTCTAGAGAGATGGTCTAATAATAAATAAATAAATGAGAGCTTAAATATTACCTGAGCACAGAGGACAAGAATCTCTAGAGAGATGGTCCTTTATGTATCTGTGTATTCTTTCAAATTTAGCTTCATTGAACGACTCAATATCTGAAAAAGGTTCAGCAACACATTCAACAAATTTGTTTTCTAAAACAAGTCAAAAATGAATTCATGAAATCCTTAGTTTCCTTGACAATAGTTATTTAATCTTTCATTTGTTACCTGTCCACATATTTTAAAACTATACTTGCAACAAGAGTAGTTTCATGATAAATAATAAATGTTACACCAAGATACTTCAGGGAAATTTCATTTTCAGTCAGATGCCATAGTTACCTATTTCAAATTCTGTGTCTGTTGGAAGGACAGTTGCCTCCGGATTTATTATCTTAATGATGTCCATTTGTTCTCTTAGTCCCATGGTCATTGAAGCAACTCTTGTCAGCAATTCAACTGCCTCAACTTGATTATCTGATGACATTTTGTTCCTAAAATAAATTGAACATGTGAGCTTTCGGTTTTTTGTATTCTCTTTATCCTGAACATTTTTTTTCTTTTTCTCAAAACCAACTCTTGGGCAAAGGAAATTTTCTACAACTCAGTCAAGATGAGTATCATTGGTGATTTGTTTAACAGTAAGTAAGTGAAGTGTCCATGAATTCATACAGGGGCGGCGTCACTATCTGCCATACAATTCTTGTGATCTTAATTTGGAGAATTTGGCACTGGATCAACTTATAATCCCCAATTCTCATCACTTGTCTGCTTGATAATGCACTTATATTGTTAGGAGAAATACCATCTTGGTCAAGCATAGCAGTTAAAGGGTTAAGCAGAAACAAGAATTTTCACTGGTAAGCACAGGAATCTCCAGACTTAATAACATCTTATCTCCCCTCCCACTAATCCTTTCACCCCCAGGAAGGACCAAAGAATAATTTCTCCTTACAATACCAATACAATAGCAAATAGTGAGGTCATGAGAATAAAGAAAAATATCAACCAAGAGATGATACTTGATTTAACACCAATTAAACATCATCAAATCACCAACTAAACACCAGAGCTAACAAAATAAGAAAAGTGTGGCAAAACAAAGCAGAATTACTTTTGAGTTTGTTGCAGTGGAAGGGTTAATTTTTTTTATTAGAGAAATCTTACAGAAAGGAATATACTATCAGTAGCACTTATTAAATGCAACGACTACTCAATGTGATTCCAATGTGAGAGTGACACATACATTAAGAGTAGGTGAGTGCCTAAGAAAAACTTCCAATTCAAAAAAATATGGCTTTAAAACAAGCACAATAAAGGATTTCCTATTCCTTTGAATACACAGTTGGAAACAAAATTTCATAACAGAAGACAATTCTAACCCAAAATGCCAATTGAAGTGAATATCACCCTAAACTGTTTGTTTAGTTTAGAACAAGGATTACCCAGCAAAAAGTATGGACTTGAACAACAGTTCTGATGTTTGTCATGTTGGACAAAGCTCATAGCAAGCATGCTTATAGAACTAAAGCATGCTTGGGATTTAACATCCATTGTTTTACCTCCAGGTCTGTTGTGGAACTGTGCACTGTTGAACACAGCCACTGGAACAAAGGAGGATGCCTCTGAGTTTAGAATCCAAATCCTCCGTCAAAAAAAATGACATAATCAACCAAAGGCTTTGTCTCATTATTACAATTATGGGCTTTCCCCGTGGAATATTCAGATACTTCTATTTCCTTTATTCAGGCCAACTCATTTATTTTTAAGGTAAAATGGAAAATTCAAGATGTAATGTAATGTAATTGTGATATTAAGACAGGCTGGCCCAGTTATAAACAATGACAGGGCTAGGCCACAACATCAGGGGCTACATTCCCAACCTTTGGTGAGAAGTGCCTGAGTTCTTTAACATCCCCTGCTAACAAATACAGAGTAGAGACAGGAGACAGGGCCTATGGCTTATCATCCTTATCCTTTGCCCATGTTGAAGCAAAGGCAGCACATTCCCCTCTAATATTTTAAAACCTTGAGTGTTGGTCTGGTCTAAGGCTTGAACCCTCCACCTCCCCCAGTGCTCTGCAGCATGAGCTTACCAAATGCGGTTAAACAGTTTACACAGTCTGCCAGGCAATTCATACTGCATCTGTCTCTCTCTCCTTTTTTTAATGACCAATTGAGAACAGGACTTAATTTTAAATACATCTGATTGTTGATTCTCCCTTCCACATTTTCTTATAAAGTTCTACCTGATAAGTTTGAGTATTCTCATTAACTGTTTGCTGGATAATGTATGGATATGATAAGGAGAAGTTACATGTTTATCACTAATAGGAGTGAAAGGGTTATTTCTATTTCCCAGACTCACTTACCAACTCAAACCAAACTCCATGGAATTCTTTATCTTTTGGCATGGACACAAGGATTTACTTGAAGTTGAACTCGAATTCTTTTCTGCTTCCTTTTTGCTTATCTGTAATAAATCATCCACTAACGTAGAGCTTTTACTCCTTTCAGTTTTCTGTTGATTCCTTTTTCTGCTGCAATGTCTACTCCAACTGTGGGAGCTGCTTTCTAGAGCTTTTAATTCTGGGAAAGAAAACAAAGAGTAATGGTTAAAATCAAGGAATTACTTTATTTATAAAATAGCTGTTATAGTAAATTTGTGTAAACAAATTAATTTGCATGAGCATGCTTCAAATTCATGCTTTTGACATCAGTAAACAAATGCCTGGAGAAAACATTTCCTCTGTGATTCATCATGAAATTCCTGTTTGAATACATTCTGATTAAAACTATGATTTTTGTTATTTAACTTTGGGAATATGTTCATCTGTTTTTATTTCATTGGAGCTTGTTTTGGTTAAAAGACCATTTATTTTTGATTTATAGCAAACCTTCAAAAAAATGGAAACCTCTCCAATCTCTGATCTCAAATGAACACTATTGAAGAAATGTAAAATGGTTTCCATGTTTACATAGCCTGATGTAAATAAGCAGGAGGTTGGGAGAACACGAGATAAGTGTAGGAAACCACGATGTGAAGCGGAGTGGTTTCCAGCTTATCGAGTGTTCTTTCAACCTCCCAAGTGTTTACGTCAGGCTATGTAAACACTGAAACCAGTTACATTACTTTTATAAAATAACTAATGAAAGAGGAACGAAAACTGTGTTTACATACGCTCATTTAAAATGGTTTTATGGCCAATCAGAGTGCACATACTATTTGAATTATTTTATAATGAATAATTGCAGATAGTCAATTGCAATAAACTAAAAAGTGGAGAGTTGAACACTAACCTTTACATTTCCTCTCTAATTCACTGATATCTAAATATGAACCCTACAAGGAAAATACATTTAAACAAATTGGATAATGGTTATTTTAGTAGATAAACAAATCCCAAAAAAGGTAACAGCCTTTAAAAGAACAACGACCAAAAAACACATGTTTATTTTAGATAAGCAACTGGAGTAAAGGAAAAGGATTGAGGATATCTCGTGAAAAGTAGTTCTGCAGTGTTAACCCTTTAACTCCCATGAGTGACCAAGACAGAATTTCTCCTTACAATATCAATACAATATCAACCAGATGAATGATGAGAATAAAGAAAAACATCACTTTAGGGGATAATTAGTTGATCCAATATTAAATGCTCTGAACTAACATTATAAGAATTTTATGGTTGACAGTAAGGAGAATAACAATTTTTTTTTTATCTGGGATTTAAAGGGTTAATGGCATGAAGCATGAAGCATTTATTGAAAAATCTCTTTCCTTCTAATACAGTGCTTGTACATGTGAGTAACAAGCAAAAAGGCAACTTTAGTGCAACATTCTGGGACATGATGGGAGTTCACATGGGTTACACCATAGTACCCTTGATCAGTTTTTCTCTTCATAGATAAAAAAAAGAAAGTCAATAGTGACTAGACCAGGCCAATTCATTATCTGGCTACAACATCATTATGAATCAAAACTCAAAATATCCCTATCATCCTCACCGAAAAAGAAGCCATCTTTGCACCTTCTGACTCTATGTCAATAATTTCATTATCTGAGTTATATTCGGAGGAATCCACTGAAGACGCAGCTGAAGTTGACTCGCTGTACCAGCAATTCATTAATTCATCCTCCCTGTCAAATCCTTGGCCACTAACAAAAAAAAATTGTGCCTTAATAACCTTTAGTTAAGCCTCTATCTGACTGTTTGGTCTATATTATGTATGTGCTAAACATGGTACAGGCCAAAATATTAGTTGATCAAACAAAAAGTTTTCTGAAACAGATTGCTATGAGCACCTACCATTAATTTTTTCATTCCTCACCACAAAAACCATCATATTATCAAAAGTTCACAATCTGGCTCATCTATCAGGCTTATTTTTTTAACAACCCTGGACTTCTGGACAAGGTTAAAATAAAAGCTATGGAAATAATCAAAATGATCAATCTTGTTTGTGTGGAACATCTAAAAATGAAAAAAAAAAAAACCCAGTCATGAGTTGCTTACCATTCAACCTCAGCAGCAACATCATATTCCAAAAAGGATGGTGAAAAGTCATCAAATAGAGAGTCCCTGCTGAAAGGAGGGGGGCTGCCCCACAATCTGTGAGAGGAAACAAAAAATGCTTTTAAAGCAAATTTCAGTCAAGTATCGAAAGGAATCCAGGACTGACTTGTTTTGTTTTACTTAGCTATGACTGGTCTAAAAAAAACTTGCATTTCTCTCACAACCAATCAAATGGGAAGTTTAACCAATAATACCTTGGTATCTTGCCCTTTTCCACCCTTTAGGTGCCTATTTTTACCTTGAGATCTCATTGGCTACTGATTATGTTAATCTCCAATCTAATTGGCTGTTTAAATTATTTTGCTTTTGGAGTATTGGCACCCTTAAGAAACTTCTCTATTACAATGAACAGACCTCATCAAAAACAAAGGAACAATTGGATGAAGGAAGAAAACAGGAAAAAACCTCTGAGTCAGTGTTTCACAGATCAAAATCTTTTCTTATCAATACTGATCCCATAAAAAGAATAGAACACATAATCATCATTTGCTCTCGTTTAAGACAAAAGTGAAAAGAAAAGAAGCGAAACATAGTGGGTTGTACAAGGCACTGACTTGTATCGATTCTTGAGGTTATTTTATACTTCAGCTCTTTACTAACTCAATACGTACATATACTTCTAAAGGCATTAAAAAGTGAATAGACGAAAACCAATCCAAAACAAAAAACAAAAAGCGTTGAGGCATTCTTGGACAAAAATGAATTCGCCTTCTTTGAAGTGCCTTTCAAAAACTGAAAGGAATGATCGACTGTATTTAAGCCAAATAATGATTGTAATCGAACCATACAGTACTCAGATAAATTATTTACAAGGATACTTTAGTCTCAGTTTAAATCATATAGGCCGTTTACTTTTTAATAATCGAAAAGGCAATAAATGCTAACATCGTTCAAAGAGCTAGCAGAGGCATTCAATCGATTACGATCACAAACACTCACGATCAATGAAATTCACGTCAAAAAATACGAAAGTAAATTGCAAAAATATTTCACAACGCAGTACACATCTTTTCTCGAAAAAATGTTCGCTACGTCTATGAAAAAAACGAAGAATTACAATTCGTCTTTAATACTGAACAAACAATCTTCATCAGCTCAATACGATAAACGAACAAATAGAGAACTTCCGTGGTAAAAAATTCTTATAACACGTAATCGCTTCGCGACCACACGAACTATCGCGTCCCTGGTGACTTTAGAACAACGCTTACCTCATTTCACTAGGCTCTTCTGGAATCGCTAGCATTCTAAATGCACATCTCGAAACGTTCACTTAAAATTTTGGACTAATTTTCTTTAGATTAAAAGGCAAAACGTCTTAAAGAATCCATCAAAAGACTAAAATCTTTTCAGGAACAATGCATTCCTGCGAATAGCACCAAGGTTTCCTCTGCCGATTAGAGCCCACGTGGCTTTAACCAATCACAATGTAGCATTTCCGCCATGTGGGAGCAAAACTTGCGCAATTCTGGCTGCCATATTTGGCATTGGCAGAACTCAGGGAGAATAAGTACTAGTCAAGTCATATGACCAACCCACTTGGATCGCGTGACTTCTAATTTTAACTTTCTCAGCTATTCCACCTGTTTATCTTTCACAATTCTACCTTTTCCCTTCAGGTGTACTTCACCTAATCCACAAAAATATACACAAACTGATTTTCTTCCCTTCAGAAAATCATAGAGACTGTTGGAGGTGGCGTATTTCGTCAGCTAGAGAAATTTGGCTAACTTGGTTTGCGTGACATGCGCTATATCGTACCAATCCCTTTTCGTTCTGAGCGCTTGGCCCGCCGTTCCCTGTATAACGTAAGGGATAAGCCAAGGAGATACGAAATACTTCAAAGGAAACATTTCAATTCTTTCTACCTCTTTTGCATGGAGTGAGCTGATGATAGTTTCCCATTGGAGTTAACTCTCAATTTGACCAAGGTTACATTGGTAAAAATACTAACACATTTGCAAAACAGAATGAACCAATCATATAACAACAGGCAACAAAACAATAACTACATCTTAATTTAGCAATAGGTTTCTCATCTAGCTGTTCAATGGAATTCCATCAATAACATTCCCTTATCTTGCTGCAGAAGGACTGCACTGCCAGATATAATTGGACCATAGAATAAACACTTATTGAACGAGGTTTTAGTGTTATCCTGAATACTCAAGGTCAAGGTAGGGGTTATCAGCCAAAGCTGAAAGCCTGAGGCTGATAACCCCCACAGAGACCTTGATTATTCTGGATATCACAAAAACCAAATCTAATAATTGCTTTACAACACATTGAACAAAAAAAATGGTCATGACAGTAAGTGGAATTAATAATTTATTTCTAAATGAGTAAATATATATATATAAATCAGCAAACAGCACACAGCATGTGAATTTGAAATAATTACCCTTAGAAATCATGCACCACAGTCATACATAACATGATTACTCATGGCCTTGAGCGTCATTGGCATGATTATTCTATAATCTGCAGCTAGATGACATTCCCAGCCCTGATTTTGAAAATTCATGGTACACTTTCCACCAATCAGAAAAGAGATAGTGAGTTTAATGTATAATAATATGTCTATATACACAACAGACAATTATGGAAACTACACAATCCACAACAAATTGCATTCCTATAAATACAAAATTGTTTATACAAGACTTTGCAATCACTATTGATAATCCAAGAAAACAAACTGATAAAAAGATTTAAACTATAAATGAAAAAAAAGCGTACTATTGTTATCTTCTCTAATATATCTCCTGGACCAAATTAAGTTTCAAATCAACATTATCTCTAAAAAACTGAGTAAAAGATAATAATCAAGATTTATCCATCATCCAATTAAAAAAATCCTATCCTCTTTGACCGGAAGTATTAACTTACTATCTTTCCACAAAGTAACTGCCACCTCCTAGAAATCACAAAATAATAATCAAACCCGCTTAATTTAGAAATATTCTGTTTGGAAAAGATTGCAAAAGCTTTGTGTTTTTTATCTAGACATAGAACAGCCTAAGCATGTAAGTGGGAATTTCTTTTTAAACAAAATTGCTTATTACAAAGTTAAGATTTCTCATTACTCCTGTTGCATATTGGAAGCTCAATTAATCATAATTTGGGATATTCCAAGTTAATTTTTTATATTTGAACAAAAATCAAGAAAACCGGTTCAAGCAGAAAAAGAAAAAATGCTATTATGTTTCCTCATTGGATTTTAGCTGTTGTAGCCCCAGCTTTTCTTCCAGTAAAATGTATGGTATTTGGTAAATCTTGCTTTTTGAAACCTGGCCAAAAAGACCCTGAAACTTGAACTCCTTCTTCATCTCTTGAAATAAAAGTTTGTAGTACACCAGTGTACCATTCATGCTTTGATTCACTTCTTGTCTCAAAACAAATGTTTGTGTCCTCCATTGTGCCATTTGTTTTGAATCCCACAATATCCCCTAAACAACATGAAGATGGAAAACAAATACTGCCATCGACACTGGACCCTGAGCTGAAAAAAATTATATCTAATGACCCTTCTTCACCTTTTCTACGAGTAGGTGTTACAATACTCAGAGTCCACAACCCTTCTAAATCCATATTTGAAGCTCTCTTGTCATCATCTCCTACTTCTTTGTCATCATCATCATCTGTGCATTCTGTGTGACCTGAGTCATTATCATCTTTTTCTGTAGAAAGGAGCTTTGCAAGCTCTGGATAGGCTGTCTGGAATTTTGATCTTGGTAACAAGGAAACTAGCTTTACCTTCTTAAAAAGTTCCAAAAATGAAGAATCAGTTTGCGCCATAAGTGTTACAATCTGCTCCAGCTGCTCCTTATTACATTTCTTTATAACAACACAAAGCTCCTCAAGTCCACCATAGGACTCGTCATCACCATTATCATTACCGTCATCACTATCCTTGCTCGGTGCTCTCTTTCTCTTCTTTCCCTCTGTGTGTTTAATCTCAATAGATTCCTTTCCATTGTTGAAAATTGCACAATGATTCGGCTTTCGACGAGCCCTTCTGTCAAGCTTGGCTAGGAATTCTTTCTTTCCGTACTTCTCTATTGCCGCTTTCTCTAAATCTTTAGGATTCCATAGTTTCACGGGTCTTCCTCTCACAGGAGGTTCCATTTGACGGTGTTGGTAGTTCAGCATGTCCAGATCATCACTATTCAGGAAGAACTCTCTCTTAGCGTCAGTACTGCTTAACCAAGCGCTAATCTTCTCCCTTTGATCCTGCTCTGACATTTTTATATTCTACGAAAGAAATAATGAATTTCAATTGACAAATTTGAGTAGTTCAACGATGTACCTGCTGATGACTTTTTCCACTGGAGGACTCCAGAGTCATCATTAAGCAGAGAATGAAGATGATTTGCTCAGGTATAAGGGGAGAATTTTAGACAAACCGTAATTTAAGCAAAATATAAGACAGCAAGATGATTTCTTCAAAGAAAAACTCAGCTCAAACCAGTAAAGTGGAAAAAAGCGCGAAAATAATTGTTACTTACCGTTAACATTCAACCGACTCTCGAGCAAATGTTCTACTTCCACTGGTGGGGGTACCCAAAGGAGCCTCCCCGTCCCCTAAGGGATTCTCTTAGATCTCGTATTAAAGTAAAATTTTTCTTTAGGTCAACTGAAAAAAATATAATATGAGCTGAAAACTAATGAAATATTTTGCAAAGTTTAATTAAATTAAGTTGAAGTGTAAAATCATTTACCAGCTGCAATTAATATTTTAGTGTGAAAGACCTCAGTATCCCTGGGTAAGGACCCGTTTGAGGATTACCAAAAGGAGGCCATTATTGATATTTCCTGTGAATTCTGCTCCAGTCCACTGGAAGAGCAGCAGTGAGAAGTGTCATGTCTTCCAACTGAAGTTTCTCCCAGTAACTTTGTGTTTATTTGGTTTTGGACTGCTACGGAGTCACTTTCTTTCCGGTCAACACGATGACTACCTCGTTGCCAGCTTCCTTCAAGATTTTACGCAATAAGATGTATTCTCGACCAAACGATTTTTGAATACTTCATTCGAATAGACAGTGAAGTGTATTCTGAGTGTAAAATTTTTGATGAGCAGTTATCAGCAACCGAGGTTTACAAGCTTGACCGATTGGAGTTGATCAGCGATTATTTTCTCAGAGTGATGAGACGCGGAACAAAAACCAGAGCTGACTCTGATACCCCAGATCTAACGAACATGAATCATACCAACGAGAGCGGTGATTCTGTGAATACGGGGATGTTAGATGAGGGAGCAACAAGTATATCGTCAGGAACATCGCATTCGAAAAGTGGCAAACACGATGACTCCAAGAAAGAAAGAGTGGTCAAAGTTGCTCTTCCTGGAGCGAAGAAAGCTCAGTCAGCAGCGAAGAAGAAAAAATCGACACCAGATTTGGTAAGATGTGGACAAAAACATTTTGTTATGCTCGCCAAGTTTTGCATTCTTCTGAGAGAACGGGAATGTATATAATTTTTGTTAGTGAGCTTGTATTGGTCATTAGCTATATTTACTTGTAACTTTTTTTCTCACTCTTTCGGAAGGATGTGCACAAGGCAATTATGAAATGCCGCGAAGAAGGATCCACGCACCTAGATCTTAGCAAAGCAGCGGTAAGAATTTTTTAATCTAATATTCGTAATAATTAAACTGGAACTAAATTTTGGAGGTGGGCTGCATATTGTTCGATTATCCAGATCAACAGTTTTGTCCGAGTCAAAAATTTTTCTCAAGTGTATCGCATAAGAGCAACTTAATCGGCCGCGATGTACCCTTAGTGGGCTTGTAACCAAACTTCCAAGAAACCAAGCTAGCAGATATCAAGTGAGCTGCTAGATTTCCGGGATAAAAATCTACACTTTTGCCTCTGGGGTATTTGATTGCAGCTGGTCAAATTTCGTTGCCGATAATTTTTTTTTCTTCTCACGAATTAAACTTTTGAGGACAATCAGCTAGCAGGGAATATGTGCTAGGGCGTGATTATAAAAGATGATCATAACATGGTTGTGTTTTTGACTTCTGCTGAATATTCGACACAGTGGAGAACTGGTAACACCTGTCTTCGGGAGCTAAACTACTATCTTATTGATTTTAGCTGAACTTTAGCCAGTGTGACATATCTATCAGGAAAGAAAGCTTTGTTAAGCTAAGCAGAATTTTGTTTGACATTTAAGCATATAAATAAGAGATTGGAAGCTTTCCTGAAAATTGAATATTCACTGTGTAGCTCTTGATCACAAAAGAACACAGTCTCACCTTGCATGACAATTTCACTGGAGTTTTTAATTTACAATTGTGTAATGAAGTGATTTTAATCATAAAGTCAACTAAAGCATTGGCAACAATAAATTTAAAAGCCATATTTCAAGGATATCCATTGACAATTTCAAATTATCCTAAGTGAATCAAAGATTTTTCATTTTTAATTTTTTTGTAATATTATTGGTCTGTGTTGATGTGCTCAGGGCTGTGCATGAAAACATCATATTGTTTTGAAAATATTCTATGATTCAATTATGAGATGTGTTTCAATCTGGTTATCAAAGCACCAAAATAATGTTCAATACACATTTGTTTCAATAATTAACATAAATTTTTATAATTTAATTTAAAGTTAGCCTTGACATTTACATCTGAGTGTGAATTTTTGTCTCTATAAGAAAAACCTATTAATTAAGATTTAATCATTCAGAGCATTCCTACATTGAATTCAAACTACAGATGAACAAACAGTCTTTAAAAAACTTAATTAATCACCAAGAAGGATTATTTCAGAAATCATAATCTCACGAACATATAGAGAAATTGACTTCTCGTTTTATTATTTTCAAAAGAAAATATTCTCTGTCATCAGTGGGGAACCCTCCTCCCACTGGGAAAAACAGTATTTATCACTGTAAGCTCTTTTTTTAACTCTTTCATTCCTGATAGCAATTCTCCTGTCCACTAGACAATTCTTATGATATTAATTTGGGGAATTTTGGTGTTGGATCAACTGATAATCCTCAATGTGATATTTTTAATTTTCCTGGTCACTTGTTTGCTTGATATTATTTTGATATTGTAATGAGAAATTCTGTCTTGATCACTCACAGGATTTAAAGGGTTAAAATGATTTGAGTTATTTTATAATAATGGCATGAACTTCTAAGGAAAAAAAAAATTGCTATCACAAGACACAAAAAAGGTTATGGCAGAAAGATATCAAAGCCAGTTTTTCAAACATGAAGTGTAAAATTTGCTCCCAAAACTATTCAGTTTGTAAATTTTCCTAGCAATTCAAGTAGAATATGATTCAGAGAGATAACAAGAATCACAGAAATGACCAATAACTTCCAGAAGTGATTAACATGTAATTTCTCCCCTATGATATCCATACATTATGTAGCAAACAAGTAATGAGAATACTCAAACTTATCAGGAATGAGTTGTTATCTTGATCTAACACCAAATTCTAGCAACCTATTTACAAGGAAATGTGTAGCAACTAGAAGGGAGAATTAACAATCAGATCTTGGGAGTTAAAGGGTTAAGGTTACATTTTCTTGATGTAACATTAACCCTCATAAGAGAGTCAATCCTCATTGAGAGAATTATCCATGATATCTTGGTACATGTTGTAGAAGGCACTTTTTTTTTACATTGGACAAGCTAGATGTTGCTGATTTAGTACTGAATGGAAATAACCCTAAGCTTCCATCTCTGTGAACAGAGCTACCATGGGGCTATTTAATTCAGCCATGAGACACAAGTTACAAAAATATGGTTTAACTGATCCTTGAATTTAATTTTGAGGCAGAAAAAAGTGGCCCTCCAAGCAAGATTGTAAAACTGTTGGGGAGACTTCTCTGTTTGGATGAGTCTTTCCTTTCCTTGAAAAGTTTGCAAAAAAAATTTGTAATGCTATGCAAAAATGATTTTGTTTTTGTTTTCAGGTTACAGCCATTCCTAAGGAGCTCAAAGAGGTATGAGTGTTTGTCTGAGTGATTGATTGACTAATTACAGCCGACTGTATGTCTGACTGACATACCAAAGAATCAGCTACTAGACCAGAGGACTTACCTGACTGTTGGATGGACTGACTGATCTACTTGCCAACTAATTTATCAATGAACCTAAAAGCTGACTGTCTCACTAACTAACTGACTCACTCACTGATGGACCGACTGGCTAACTAGTCCACTAACTGACCAGATGACAGAAGGACCAACTGACTGACTTACTGACTAACTGAGCAACTGATTCACATACTAATTGACTAACTGACTGACTTACTGACTGACCTACTGAACAACTGATGACTGACTGACTGACTGACTGACTGACTGACTGACTGACTGACTGAATAACTAACTAACCAACTAACTAAATAACCAACTAACTAACTAACTAACTGACTGACTGACTGACTGACTGACTGACTGACTGACTGACTGACTAACTAACTGACTGACTAACTTACTTACTAACTGACTGGAAGCCTCTTGTGGAGGTCTAACTTTCTCTTATAAATATTTTTGATCTTTGCTTTCTTTTCAGCTGACCCAATTGAAGGAACTCTACTTGTATGGAAACAAAATTGCAACTCTCCCACCTGAGGTTGGGATGTTGAAAAATTTAGAGAAACTGGCACTGAATGAAAACAACTTGACTGACTTACCAGGTAAATAAATTCAATTCTATTTTAATAATTATTAAAGTTTGATGCAACTTTGTTTTGCAAGTTTAGATTAATCATAATTGTGTTACCATTGAACTGTTGAGTGAAAACAGTGACTTAGATACTGAGTGTGGAAAGGGAGTAGAATTTTATGTGATGATACATGATGTACATGTAGATGAGCCAAAGCAATAACTGCAGCCATTCAGAACAGAGAAAAATATGGGAAGGAGCTGATGAAAACTCAAAGTATAAACTAGCACACTGCATGAAGCATAAAAAAATACAATGGACTAAGTAGCATCTTATTTGTTGGGAGAATTTTCTGTACTTATCTAAAAGCTTTGTGAATCGGAGACAATTTGTTGCACTTTTCACTATTCAGGTGATCATTTTAGAATTGCTTTTATGGAATCATATATCTCCTGTTTCCTTTGAAAGGCTTTATTTCTTCTCCTACTGTTCTTTTGAAATGGTGTAAATCATAGCATCATGGATTTTCTTGATAAGTGAATTGATGTCAAACATGGGTTTTTTTTTAACAGATACTGTGGTAAAGCTTAAGAATTTAAAACTTCTGGACTTGAGACATAACAAGATGAAAGAGGTACCATTTTCCTGTCTTAACGTGCAAAAATGTAGGTGTGTGAAATTGACCTATTATAGCTCCATTGCAAATCAAGGGATACAATAAATAGCCATGATGTAAAGCTGGATTTTGTGGCCAGGAATCCAGCACATTAATTTTGTGGCTGCTGCTTCTACCAGGTGACATCAGAATCAAACTATTTTAACTTGTATTACAAACAAGCTTACCATGGGAACAATATAATTGGTCTCTTACACATATACTGTACTTGATTTATATCTAAAACCTACTGACTTTTTATTGATATTATTTATTCCTTCAGATTCCATCAGTGGTATATCAGCTTGTATCGTTAACAACTCTATTCCTTAGATTTAATAGACTTGTCATAGTTGAAGCTGGAATTGGAAATTTAAGAGTAAGTCAGGATGATTTTTTTTTCCACATTTTGTATCAAAAAATTTGCCACCACCTTGTTAATTAATTTTGGTACACATGTTTCAGTTGAGATTATTGCATAATTGAGCATTGGTAATTAGGCACAACCCAGTTTCCTTTGTTAATTGCCATAGATTCAAAATTGAACCCCACCCAGGAAAAGACAAACAAAGGGAAAGAATAATCTTTGTGGTGTTGAATGTAGAGAGAGCTGAAAATTATATATTTATGGTAGTGTACAAGAGAATACTTATTAATAGGAATTTTATGCCCTAGCAAAGCCCAGGTATTCTTGGAGACCAACTTTTGATTTTAGACAACTTGCATAACCTGTATAAAAGCTTTTCAGACCTTGGCACCCAGTTTCATGGGATTGATAACACAGCTGTAGAATGCACTAAGCATTTACTGCATCACATATTCTTTGTTTTGTGATGTCATATTCATGTGCAGTTTAATGATCAATGTGGTGAAACTTGTGAGCTATGAAAATATCTCATTTAAATTTATGTGTAATATGTAATTCTAGATGTCTCTCACTGTCTCTTTTTTTCCATAAACAGCTCCTTGAGAGATTGAGTCTCAGAGAGAACAAGATTAAAGAGTTACCTGCTGTCATAGGTAATTTTAAGTGATAAGTGAGACTAGCTACACTTTGCCTTACTAAACGAAAAGTCAGCAGAGTTTGGTGGATTATAAACTGTACTGTTCAGAAGGCATACATTTCAATTCACAATTTTTTTGGAAAGTCACTAAGGTCCAGGTTGGTGGTAATAAAAGAAAGCACAGGCAGGCTAATCAGCCTAATCATGGTATGTTTTTTTGCAGGTCAGCTTGTTCATCTTCTTACCCTTGATGTTTCTCACAACAACATCACAAGTCTTCCTAGAGGTTAGTTATTGTTAGTAGTAGTTTATGGCTCTATCATCCATCAGTCAGTCAGTCAGCCAATTGGTCAATGAGTCGGTTGGTCTGTCAGTCGGTCAGTCAGTCTGGCAATTGGTCAATGACTCAGTCAGAAGGTCATTCAGTCAGTTAATCAGTGGGTAAATCAGTCAGTCTGTCTGTCTGTTTGTTGGTCAGTCTGTTTTTCTGTCTGTCAGACAGTCATACATGTCTTTCACCAAGTTAAACAACAATCTTTGAAGGAAAGTCACTGCCAAAAATCAGTTACAGCTTCCAGTTGGCTCGACACAGCTGTAGATCAGAGCCAGAGGAGTCTTGTCATTTTAACCGTTACAGAGATTTGATTTTAAATACAACATAAAGTTTGCAAAATCATAAACACTAAATTGGTTATTGTGAAGTTAACCAGCTAAAAATGGTGATTGTGCATGACAGCATTGAAAAATGCAGGTCGAATGGTGCTGAGATGTACTGCTGATAAGCTGATAATACAGTTCCTGCAAGTTTGTTAGATAATAATCTGACCTCTTTACTAACTGTGTCTTTTGAATGTGCAGAAATTGGAAATTGTGTCCAAATGACATCACTTGATCTTCAACATAATGATATTCCGGAAATACCTGACACAATAGGCAACCTGACTGAAATGACCAGGTTGGGGCTCAGGTAGGTTTGACAACTGCATTGATTAAATAGTTCCTTTAACAACATAAAGTGGAGAGCATGCATAACAAAGTATACTTTGCTATTTGTCTTTAAAAAAATGTGAACATACAGCATGTATACTTGCAAAACTATAGAATTGTATTTTGTTACTGAGTGCTGACAAAGCCATGAAAAGCATTGTTTTTGAGCAATGTCAATAACAATATGTATGAAAAAAAAATGTTCTGTTGTTTTTGCTGGGTGCTTTTCAAGATAAAAGTGACCATGATCATTGTGAAATTGGATGATATAGAGTATTACAAAAAATAACTACTGACAGTCAAGAAGAGGCAAGGTATAGTCACCTTGATGTAGAATAAATGGGGTGGAAACTGATATTTACTTCTAAAAGGAAGTCTTTTTTTTCAACAGATACAATCAGCTCTCTGCAGTGCCTGCATCTTTAGCAAATTGCACAAAGATTGATGAGTTCAATATTGAAGGCAACAATGTCTCTGAACTACCAGTAAGGACATTTAGGTTGTATTGTCAAAAAATTGTGTTTTACAAAGATTTAGAGAGAGAAATCTCTAATGAAACTGTCAGATGAAGATGAAAGAGAGACCAATCTGAAAGTCTGACAGGGATTAAGCCTGACCCTAAAGCTCTTTACCTGCATTCCTTCCTTCCTTCCTTCCTTCCTTCCTTCCTTCCTTCCTTCCTTCCTTCCTGTATTCATTCCTATAATGCCAGCTTGCTAGGAGAGCAACAAAGTAGCCGTATTCCAACAATTCTTTGGCTTTTCTCTCAGTCCAATTCAACCTTACAACATTGTTGAAACTCTTTCTCAACCATACTGTGCTTAATTTCAACTTTAGTGTCAATGGAAACTATCTTAATGGAACAGATGTTTTTGTATTTAATACTTTTAATTGAGTTGTTAAGATTGTCAACTACATTTGAGTGTGATTTTAGGGATTACTTATATCAGCAGCTAACATTTTTCTCTTGATTTTAAGGATAATCTTCTTCATTGCTTGAAAATGTTGAACAATGTCACCTTGTCCAGGAATAACTTTGAACATTTCCCAACTGGGCCACCCAAGCAATTTGCTGCAGTTCAAGTAGGTTATAATAAGCTTTAATTTTTATAGAGTTTTTATTAATTAAAAGAAAAATAAGGGAAGAGGGTTGCAACTCTTTGCAGGTGGGTATTTTTCTGGGTGTGTAATATACTCTCACTTTGTCTTCTTGACTGTCAAACCAGGTATATTTTAGTTTCACTATAACTACAATTATGTTATTTTTTTGTTTACACTGACATAACTGGTAATCTATGGTTACTAAATTACCTCCTTTACTGTCAGACTTTTACCATGGAACACAACAAAGTACAGAAAATTCCATTCGGAGCCTTTTCAAAAGCAAAGTATTTGGTAAGATAATTATAATGATTAATAGATCATACTTTTTCTCATTTTGATACAATCATCCTTCAATAGGATCAACATGTTCAAGGCTTGAAATAAAGTCCTAGTTAGTTGTTGTTGTTTATAAAAACTTTCCAGTAATGCCATATTTGTATATCTGGGTATCAGCCAAATGATATTTGGAGAGAGTGGTGACATGAAATGAAGAATGGCAGACAAATTGAGGTGACAGTGTGGTGAGAATGTTCTGCATTCTGTTCCCTGCCTTACTGCCCGCCGAGCCTTTCACTCCCCTATTGCCTCGTGTGTGGGCAAACACATCAGAGAAATGTTTGTATTTTGACACAATTTTTCTTCACCTTTCCACCTTTTCAAATATCTTTTCCTTCCGTTCTCCTGTATTACTTCGACTCCTTTGCTTAAACCCCCTTGTCACTCCCCACAAATAAGGATTGTGTGTTGTCAGTTGGAAAAAATATCAGAAAGACCAGTGTCAAGTGGTTTTTTTTTTTTTGCTATGTGCATTTTAGAAGAAGTGTACCATAAACTGACCAATGGATGCCTCTATTTTCCATACACAACAACAAATATAGAACATAAACCCCTTAACTCCTGTGAGTGACCAAGAAAGAATTTCTCCTTACAATATCTATACAATATCACACAGACAAGTAATGAGAATAAAGAAATATATCAATTATGGGATTACTAATTGAACCTACACCAAATTCTCCCATCTAACATAATAAGAATCATTTGGCGGACAGTAAAGAGAATTACTAATGAGATCTTGGGAGTTAAAGGGTTAATTTCATAAAATGATTTAATTTGATCAAAAAATATGTATGTAATCAAGGGAGTACTGGAATAACTGTCATTGTAAACAGAGTATTGTAAGTTACAATACAGATTTAATCTAACTAATCTAATTATCTAATTTATCTGTTATCTAGTTACTAATCTATAGTAATGTGAACTTTTAATCTGACCCTATACTGAGAACTTTTCGCTTCTTTACAGACAAAGCTAAACATGAAAGAGAATCAAATAGCAGCACTGCCATTGGGTAAAAACATGTGCATGTTGTTATTTTTCTAATAGCAGAATCCCTTGATTGTTAAATGTTATTGATGTCTGGATAGTGATGAACATTCCCTTTTTTAAGTGACTCTTTCATACCTGGGATTATTCTGCAAAATTAAGACTCTTCTGACTGTCTTGCACTATTTTCCTGTTGGTTACAAGCATGCTTTGTTGTACGTGAAACCAAAACTTTTTCCATAGGTGGTACCCTTATTAAATTCATTATTCTCCATGAACTTAAATTGAAGTTTCAAGGAGAGAGTACATTCATGTCACTAAATTTTGTCAATTAAAGGCATCAACTTTAAAACTAAAATTTGGCCATGTTTAACAGTGTTTTCAAGCCCAGATCTAGTAAGTGTTTTAGATATTTTTTTATCACAGACAGCCATATATTGCACCAGAATATCGTGGACTTTAAAATTACTGATTTTTTATGACACTCAGCATTTAATATGGTGTAATTATTGCTTCTTGAATGTTTTGTATTTTGAGCACAATGATATTTTATTTTCAGATTTTGGCAGCTGGATTAGTCTGGTTGAGCTTAACCTCGGAACCAACCAGCTTTCAAGGCTTCCAGGTATGTCATCTTTATGATTATATCACTTCAACATATGGGAAAAACCATTGAACTACAGTTTTCATTTGAGTTTACAGAAATTTGGAATTGCTGTGGGTTTACCTCACCACACTCTGTGGTGAGCATTGCTTTAAAAAACTGGCAAACTTACAACCCTCATTTGAAATGTTCTCTATTAAATTTAACTGATTGAATTCAAGTTTATTAGGTAGAGGAATACCATGCTGTCAATAAGGGCCAGAAGCTAGCAAAAACCCTCAGCTAGTCTGCCATTTTCAGCTGGCTACTTTCAACTCATTTTAACATAATTACTGACAAAAAATCCTGCAGTTATCAAAATGTCAACAAAGGTTTAAACCATGTGGCTTTTGAAATTGTAAAAATGTATGAATCCAAATCCTGTTTAGGATTTAGATAAACATTAATGTGAAAACTCTGGGGTCATTTTAATTGAACACTTTCTAGTCTTGCATGTAATGTCATTTATCTTGTTGCAGAGGATATTCAGTGGCTTACAAACCTTGAAGTTCTGATTCTCAGTAATAACCTTCTTAGAGTAAGTATCTTATTGTTGAACTCATTTTGGTGTGTAGATAAACGATACTCACAATGAAATGCAGCAGACAAATAACATGTACTGGGAAGGAATTTTTTTGAAGTGATCAGAAGGTTTTTTAAAAACCTCATGTAGAGGCAGACCATTAAACTTGTAACAGAGTGCTGTCAAGAATTAAACACTGTGTAACCATTTTTTTCTTTTACAGAGATTACCACGTGGCTTGGGTGAACTAAAGAAACTTAGAGTGCTAGACTTGGAGGAAAACAGGCTGGAGTTACTTCCAAATGAAATTGGTATTTAAAGTGATTATTTATTGTTATTGACAGGTTGATAAGAAATTTGAACTTCTGTTTTTGAAAAAAACTTGTGTACAGAAGCTTTAATTTTTACTCTTTGTTTTTCCAGCTTTTCTTAGGAGTTTGGAGCGATTAGTTCTGCAGTCAAATAATCTAACAACTCTTCCAAGATCAATAGGGTAAGTGAAATCCTCGTCAAAATTATATTTAATGCTGTTATATTATAACTGAAGGTAAGTTACTTAGAAAATGTTAAGTCTATGTTTAAGCCTTTGGCATCATCCCTACAAGTAAATGAATAAATGTTATCCAAAGGAGAAAGATGGCAATAGTTTAGAAAACTGTTTCAGGGCTTATCTTGGTTTGACTTGTGTTGACTAACTTACATGATTATTGTTACACTTTGTCAGAACAGAGAATTACTCATAAGATTTTAGGGTTAAAGTTGTGAGAAGTGTGTGGAATTTAAAAATATAGAACACTGATACAAACTGACTTGTTAAGAAGGATCATATGATGATTAAACTACAGAAAGGATTTGTTTGTGTTTATAAATTCCTTTTTTCTCCTGTTTTATTAAGCCAGAGATTTACTTTGAAAATTAAAATTAAAGTTTCTTTTCTTTTTCTTTTTCTTTTCCTTTTCACCAGATACCTTACCAATGTTTCATATCTAAGTGTTGGTGAAAATGACCTCACTCAACTTCCAGATGAAATAGGTATGTAACCACTCACTCAAGATTCACGCAGCTTGACTTTCAATCAACTGAATGATGATGATATACGGTATTGACTCCAGTAAGGAAACTCCCCCAAATAAGTGCCTACCCCTTTGGCCATAATAAAAAACAAGTGCCCCTCTCGAAAAAGCGCCCCCCCCCCCTCCCCCCCTCCTTCCTCTCTTTCTTAACTAGAAGGGATACAAGGAAGACCTGAATACATTGCCATTATTTTATAACTTTCAAAGTTCCAACTAAAGTGGAATCAGTACAGGAATTGATAGTTTCTAATTAAGCATCCCCCTTCACCACACAACAACAATCAAAATAATAGATAAAAACAAAAAAAAGAAAGAAAATGACAAAGAACAACAAAAAATGGCAGGGACATCGCAACAGCACAACCAACTACAGCAGGCCTCTTTTCCAATAAGAGCCTCCTTTTAGCTGAAATGTTAAATAAGCAACCCCCAGGATATACAACAGTATTTCAGCATTTAGACTAAAACTGTGAATTGTTGATTGTTATTTTATGTTTTCTCTGTTTATTAAAATTCTTTTTAATAGGTAAAATGGAATCCCTTGAACAGCTGTATCTCAATGACAATGACAGCCTTCAGTCTCTTCCCTATGAACTTGCTTTATGCAATGCATTGCAGATTATGAGCATTGAAAACTGCCCTCTAAGCAGTTTCCCAGCTGAAGTTGTGGCTGGTGGACCATCTTTAGTCATACAGGTACAGTGTGAGCTCAGGACTTGAATCTGACAATTTTCAATTTCTTGAATTTGATTCAGTGGAATTTGACAAAAACAGGAGAAGCCCACTTCATGACCTTGTGCTTGTCATTTTTATTACCACTTTTTTTTTTTTACAACAAAGTCACTGTAAATAGGTTATTTATTTTAATAGGCTTTTTAATTATTTTTCATAAAGACGGGAAAAAATGAATAATCTGAATACTCCATAGGGAAGCAAATATCAGACCTTTAGATTTTAATATTATTTTTTTATTTAATACTTCATTACTGAGTCGCAGAAAACTTGTTGGCAAGCCTCAGCAAGTGGCAATAATAGTAATTGACACACCTCACCTTAGCAGGTGGTCAACAATCCTCCAACATAATAAACAGAAATCTAGTAATTAGTCTTCAATAAGTTACTTGAAAGTTAGGGACAATTTTTTTTTATTATTATAAAACTTTGAAATGAGGGAGATTGGGAGATAAATAAAATAAATGGGATTTAGTATTGGACATTCCACAAGCTAGCTCTTCTTGTCCAATGTTTCCATGTCAATTTGGAATTTAGAATGTTGGTTTTTTGTGGAGGGAAGAAAACTGGAGAACCCAAGGAAAAAAACATCGGAGCAAGGACAAGAACAAACAACAAACACAACCCTCATGTGACTCCAGGTCTAGGAATTGAACTTGGGCTAAACTCTTGAGAGCAAGCACTCTCACCACTGTACCACCCCTGCTCCCCTGTAAATGAAATTTAAAATTTAAAGAAGAGTAGAGCATGGCATGACTTTTCCCACTCATTGTAGACTACTCACTTGGTCCATGAATGACAAGCATTAGACAGGGATAGAGAGGTTTGATCATTTCATTTGTGGTGTAAGGAGTCATTGACTGAAACTCACAATAATTTGCAAGTTTTGAACAATTTGTTGTGGTTAATGAAATTTTCCTTTTCTTTTCTTTTAGTATCTGAGACTCCAAGGACCATACAGGGGAATGATGGCTCAAGCAGGACTGGTACCTTCATCAGATGTCTGAGAGAATATTGTTAATGCTTTTCCACTGGTGCTGTGTTCCTGTTAGGTTTTGTTTCAGTTTTTTTCAGTTTTACTGATGTCTTTGGCTCTTAAAATTTTAAAGATATGAGTGGTAATTCTTGCTGCATATTTTTATCAAACTAAGTAAAAAGAATTGGATGTTGTGTTAAGAAAATGTTTTTAAACTGATAGTTTTTTTTCAGTCTTATTTGTTTGTTGGCTAAAGATTAGAGTTTCGCTGAGTTTAGCATGTGGCTTGAATTCATGAACCATGACATTAGGGATAGTTAAGGGAGCTTTGTCACAATTGTTAAAGTGAGTTTTTTCATCACAGCGAGCTGCCATTAGATTGAATGAACTGGGAAATAATTGTCCACTCTCCCAGGCAACACCAAAGATAAAATGAAAGTGATCGAGGTTGGAAAAAATCAAAATGGATTGCAAATCAATTAACTTTCAAAATTTAAGCTAATTAATGGCTATGAAATAAGCACAAATTTTTGTTCTGCTAACACTCCTACTTTTTCTTGCTTGGCTGAACATGTTGCTCTCAGTTTTTTTCAGTTATTGTCAGCTAACCTAGTTTAAATCAGTTAGTGGCAAGGGATGGATTCAAATGTTAGTTGAAGCTATACATTTCAAGACTTTTTTTTATTTTTTAATTCAGCCTAGGCACAACTTCACTTATGGAAACAATGTTGATATCTGTAATGCTGGTTTTGTTTGATGCCCTTTTTTTTTTTTTCGGAATTTTGCCACAAAATTGGGTGTGGTCATGATACATAAATTTGAGACCTTTCCATAGATTAGTGATTTTTGTAGTTTTCATCATAGATTAGGTAGATTTAAAGCGTTACTCAAGATTTACTCAATTTAAGGGGACTCTTTCATTGGGCTCCAACTCGTTTTTTAATGTTTAAAATTTTGAACAAATTTATTTTAGGTCAGACTTTGGGGAAGTCAATTTTGGTAAATTTTGTGGTAGATTCTTAGCAAGCAATAGACATTTTGTGGTGGAAGGAGAGAGTTTTTTTTTTACATTACACTACCTGTCACTTTAAGGGTGGGGTACCTGCTTTAGACTTACAGTAGGGGTAATTATCTTATTACATATACAGAGGTAGATTTTATCAACAATAATTTATGGTTTTCTACTAATTTAGGAAATTCTAAAATTCTATTAAATAGAAGCTAGAGATAAAGAAAGGCAACCACAAGCTTTTGAATGGAAATTGGACAAGATTTGTTAAGTCACTGTAGTACATTGTGCAGTAGAACATATGACTGCAATTGTATGTAAGGTCCTAGAAACTCTGAGTTGAAATGAGAACTTTGCTAGGAAAGCACAAAACCTTGGAAAAGTTGGAAATTGTTTCCAGTACAAATTTTTTTGGATAATTTTCCTAGAAAATTTGAAGTTACTTGAATGGTATTTTATAAACATGTACTTACACCCATGCAAACCTTACAGTCCAAGAAAATATGATACTTGTCACCTTCAGTCCAAATATCAAAATTACTGCCTCCATTTTTTCTTAATGTCAATCATTCTAATTGACAATCTGATATTTGAATCAACACAACAAATTTTCTATGAAGCTGATTTTGGTTCAACTTTCACCTGTTTATTTGGGAATTAAAAACGGTCACATTTCTACATGGCAAAGAAAATTACTTGTTTGTAAATCAAGGTGCATGTGGGAAAAAAAACTTCATGGCCAAAAGTCTCCAATCATTATTTTTTTACAACTGTCAAATTTTGTCGATTGTACAGTATCTGGTAGTAAGTTTATCACAAAATGGTTGTATAATTTTGATTTTGTCCATTTATCTTTCACAAGTGAGCTGTCTTTATTTTAAATACCACAGACTCTTGAACTCAGGATGTTCTTTCAGTGGTGATCTTTCATTACATGCAAGTTTGAAGTTAGTCATAGTTAGGCTCCATGATTGTAATGCTCTTAATTATTGATTTCTAAGAGATTCAAGATGGCTCATCAGAATGCTACTGTAGTACTTAATATGCTTTGTTTAAAAAAAATTCATGATCAAAATTGTGGGCTTGCCCTTTGCTTGCCTTTGCATTTCAATAAAAACAACACAAATGGATCTTTCTGTTTCTGTAAGTACCAATAACTTGAAAGTAACCTTGATGGGTAAAATATCTTTTACTGTGATATGCCACTTTAATTTGTGAAAGCACATACATTAAGGGCAGGTACTGTTACATTCTGTTATGAGCTACCTGAAAAGGAAAGAATGCACAACTAGCCAAGAATAAAAACCTGAAAGGAATGAGGCTGGAGCACTAGGAACATACCCAAGAGAGAGAAACACTCCTTTCATGCATATTTCTTGCCAGCTTGTTTCTGGAACAAGGAGTGCCTGCTACACTCACAGGCTGTAAAGAACGTTTTTCTTTAATGTCTTAAAATATTCAAGGAAAATGCGTATTTTCAGTCATTATGATTTACATGTAATGTAAGTATGGACAGCCTTACAAAATAAGCCAGCCACAGTAAATAATAGTGGAGTTAAGTTACTATAACGAAAGACATCATTAGACATATTTCAATAGTCATTTATATATGTTCATATAAAGTAGCCAAACTTTTTAATCAAATAAATAAATTTCTCTGGGAGCATTGCGAGTCACTTTCATCTGTGAGGTCATTTGAAAATGAAATTCTTTGGGTTTCTTGCTAATGAACCAGTTCACCCCATTCACCTAAAGTTCATCATCTCAGGGGTCCACTCAGGAAATGACAAGCACATGGTAGCAACCCAGACTAACCCTATGCTTACTGGGTAGGTCTTTTAACAACCTCCCCTGATAAGTGAAGAAAACCCCATAGTAACAAGACTGGAAATCTCACCGACTCTCCTAGAGTCTCCCCCAGACCATTGAGTTGTGTTCTAAAGTGAGATCTTTTACTGGCTCAGTGCATTTCTCCCACAAGGAGTATAAAAGGGTTCCAACAAACTGATGCCGAGACCTGAAAAAAATGATGGGAGTGGGAAGTTACTAGCACTAGAAGTTGCCATATTCCCAGTCTTCTTGACCCTTTAGATCCTAACATCAGTACACATATTCTTAATACAGGTC